TGTCTTGCAAATCTGGGTGCTTCCGCCTCATGTTGACTCTTCTTTGAGGTACGGACAATCATCTTCATTTTACCATGGTCGGTATGGAAACACCATAGAGCCCTTGCAAGAACCACTGCAGAAGTGGCCACTTCGACCCTACACTCTCTGCTGCCCTCAGCATCCAAGCGACAGTCATGGCATTGCTTGCTTTATTCCCATTGGCTGAGCAATGTGTCCATCTCCCTGTTTGCTTGGAAAGAGGAAGAGAGTGCAAAATGTGCAAGAGAAATTGTGGCAAAAGGGGTTATTTTGATAGAATTCTATGTTTGGTTTGAGTGGCTTGGGTAGCACCAGAAACATGGAGGTGCACTCAGGAGAGGGAAGGGGAACCCACCTCAGAACTACAGGGGACCACTCACAGGGAAGGGATGGGGATTCCACCTTTGGAGGCTGCTGGGATGCATGGAGCAGGAAGAAATGGCTGGTGGATGCTCATTTCTTTGAAATCTCATTCAAAGGAGGACTTAGAATGGGAAAACAAACCACTTCATATTGAGTAGGACCTTTACAAATTATATTTACCATGGGACAGGTTTTCTGAGAAATATCAGAATTGTTTAGACAGAGGCTAGAGTGTGCTGGGAATTTGGGTTTAATACTTTCCCCTTGCTCTGGCCCAGCATTCCAGGAGGCAGAAGCGAAGGAGACAGGCTTTGTTTGCTTCAGATAGAACTTCTCCCTCCCTCTCTCTCGTCAATGGGTATTCCTTGCACAAAAGCTCCTATTACAGCACACACATACATGCATGCATACCATACATACCTTATTATTAGTGTTCCATGCTCCACTGGCTGGTGACACATGTGAGGTTATTTATATGTCACTGGCAGGAGGTTAAACCCAGAACAAATGACTAAGCTGTTATTGTTTTCCCATTTTTGCCTCTTTGCTCTGCTGAAAGACATGCCCCTTGCTATAATAGAATAAATCCAATCCTGTGTCAAAAGGATGAATGTGAAAAAGACATGGAGTCTCCCTTGCACTTTCTCAGGCCTTCAGAGCATAGAAATGAATCCAGCTGATGGTAGAAAAGGAGCTGGAATGGATGGGATGGAACTAACCTTTCAATGGGGACAAGCATCTCCCCAACGCAAACTGGATTTTCAGCTGAAATGTCTAGATTCAGTTGAGTCCCCTTAAAATGAGAACTTTGCCCAGGTGCTTGTGTGGAAGAGCTACACAATGATTCCAAACAAATCAAGATAGTTCTAAAGCCAAACTAGCTCTGAATGAAACATGATAAATTCAAGTAGTGCAACCTGTAAAGATATTGAAATGGGCGGGGGGAAGGGGAGAGACTTTCTTTTCTGCCCTTCTGTGGACCTGATCTGATCTGTCCTCCTTCTGCATGGTGAGAAAAATGTGAATGAAAACATTCTACCATTGCCACCCCATTGCAAAGAGTAGACACATGATCCTTGTCACAGGTGCCTCCTGAAATTGATCAAGAGTGTTTTGGGGTGTTCAATCTGGGTTCTTATTTATTCACTGACATTAATATGAATGTGACCTTCTATCTTTCAATCTATCTAATTTACAAAAATTGTTAGGAAATACTTAAGTTGCTTTTCTTTTTTACTATTAATCTCACATGCAACTCTACATGCAACTCTACAATCTACATATCTATCAACTGACCATTCCTTCCAACTGCATTTGAAAATATTGCACAATGAATTGAATGGTGATGATAGATCTTCTCATTTAAAAAACAGCCAGAAGAATTCTTGTTCTGGTGTAGGAGTGTGAACTCTTGTGATTGGTCCTTTTCTCAGACAGGAATTTTATGTCAAGCCCATCTTTTTATACAAACAGCCATGCAAAGTCAATTTACATACAGCTAGAATAGGCAAATATTTCTTTTGCACCCTCTTCTTTTCTATGGCATTTCAAGAATCCTTTCCCAAACAACGTTTGACTCAGTAGACAAATACATAGGATTTTTCTGTGTCTGCTTCATCGCAGTCTCCAGAAAGAAGAATGTGGTCTCTGTTTCTCTCCATTGTGCTTCTTTCCATTCTACCATGTGTGTATCTTCCAAGGAACCCTGGACATTACATCAGGGTTTTAATGGTTTTAATTTGGCCATTTGTAAGATGTGAGTCATTCATCCATGGAATTTTCCTTCCTCTTTTCTAGATGTGCATTCTGAAGTGAACTTGGGTCAACCTACATTTGTGCAGTTGAAACCAACAGAGACTCTCCGGCTCACCTGCTCCATTTCTGGGTTTTCCCTCAGTGCAAGTGGGAATGCTGTCAGCTGGATCCGTCAGACTGCAGGAAAAGGACTGGAATGGATGTGCCTAATCTATTGGGATGATGACAAACGCTACCTTGACTCCTTGAAAAATCAAGTGACCATCTCCAGAGACGTTTCCAGAAGTGAAGTTTACTTAGAGATGAGAAATTTAGAAGCAAGAGACACCGGCACATATTACTGTGCAAAAAGCCACAGCATTCAAAAGCAAGGGGGAACCCAGACAAATACCAGCTTTTCAATGACTAGGCATTATGTGAGTTATGCTTTGTTGCTTGCATTTAACTTAGGCTGAGGATGGCTTCTGCATGCCAGAACCCACAACCCATGCTCCTAACTGCAGAAATATCACAGGTGGGAAGATCAAAAGGTCAGTAACCCACTTGGCAGAAAGGGTGTTCAAAAGGAAAGGAACATATTCATAATCAACTCTTGCAATTTGTGGCTCTGTCCCAGCCTGTTGTGGGTTGGAGGGTGCTTTTCTGGATGGGAAGCATTGCCTCTGAAGGAGTCGATTCATCACCTGGGGGTTCCCTTGAAGCCACCTCTGCCAGCTTAGGCTCTGGTGGCCTCAGTGGTGCAGAGTTCCTTCCACCTTCTAAAGTTGATGGTCCAAATACACCCTGATAAAGTACTGCAGATGTTTACACACTGGCAACTAGGTTATTGCAATGCACTCTACATGGGACTAACATTGAGGATGGTTCTAGGTTAGGGTTGGAAGTTAGGAGGTACCGGAAGGTCTAAAGATGTAACTAATATTCTGAGCCACTTGAATTGGCTGCCCCTAGTTTTCAAGCCCAGTTGAAAATGCTACTTTTGTTCTATAGAGCTCTACTTCTATCATATTGAAGATATCTGATGGGACACCTGTCCAAGCATGAACCTACCCTTAGCTTCCTGATGCTATGAAAATTGCGAAGTAGACTATGATTCCCCTCTAGTAACTAATGCATGGGGGGGGGGGTCCACACATGCACGTGTGTGTGTGTGCGTGCGTGCGTGCGTGTGCGTGCACATACATGAGTCAGAGAGATGTGAATTGCCAGGAATACATCAGGCCAAACAAACAGTGGAGGATGAAAAAGCAAATAACTTCGTTCAGTCAAGCTGACCTTCATTTTACTGAGTGAAATTATTTTAATACTTCATTGACAATTTATGCAGTGAAGTGGTACTTCGAATGCTTTATTTATTCATTCATTTAGACAATGTATACACTGCCTTACAGCTAAAAACTGCAATTACGATCCTGTGTAGAAGCAAAAATCATGAAACTGAAGTTGTAATCCTTTGACTTGGGCAGAGTTGTAGAACAAACAAGTAAGCGGGCAAAAAAACAAAAACAAAACTTCACTGGAGATGTATCATACTAATGTGCTTATTTGTTGGAAGAGATTTTGAAAAATGCCTGCATACCCCAGTAGCTGAGGAGCTTGGGCAGGTGGAAGACTTGCACACATCCTGCTTGAGGGATCCTGTGGGCAGTTTGCTTGCCATTTGCAACCACGTGTACAGAATGATGGACTAGATGGACCTTGAGTCTGATCCAACAGGACTTTTCTAGTGTTCTTGTGTTCTTATCAATTGTAGCTATTAGCCAATCTGATAAATATGCTGGTTAAGCCACTAGCATATTGGTCTGCTGTTTACTAACTCTTTTTTTTTTTTTTTTTTTTATTTTTTTTTTTTTTTTTTTTACATTTGTGAGTATCGATTTGTGGAATAGATTTGGAATAGATATGTAAATAATTATTGTTATATAGAAGATGTACATGCTGTAAGATGATTATATGCCTTTGTTATAGTTAAGGATTGTCAAAAATAAAAAAGGTGATCCCCGCCATAACTATTAGACAATCTGGATGGGGGTGGAGAAGCTTTACCCTTTAAAGAGGTTTGAACTTTGGATGGGAGTGAGTAAGATCTGGGTGCAACATCTGCCACCATATTGATGACCATGGTTGTTTGGGCTGATCTGGCTGGCCAGAAGGATGCCCCCTTCCTCCCTCACCACTCCATGTGCATCCCTCCCCAAGCTCTGAGGGTGGTAGAGAATGGCCATCCCACATAAAATGTGTCTACTGTTCTTTGGCCAAGGAAAAATGATTCCTGCACTCCCCTGCTAAAGCCTCTGAACAAACTCTCAAGCTCTATTTGTAGGCGAGAGTAAGGTTTGAATTTTAATTCCTTGCACAGAGACAATCACATGACCTTAGTTAGCCTTTGAATCTCTTGGAATTCTACCTCCTATCAGATTCTTCACACATCCCTTTCACATGAGGATTTGAATCCTAGTGATCCCAGAATTCTCCCTTCCTCACTCAGCCCCATCTTTCAGGTGGCACTTGTCACCTCTAAGATGAAGCTGGTGATGCCCTTTCCACACTGGAAACAAACAAGCAAACAAACATGTCTGTCTATGTTTTGTCTAGAATCAGAAAGATTCAGTTGCCCATAAGGAACTGGAATATAAAAAACAGGTTAATCAACAATACATCAGAATTCAGGAGAAAACAAAACAAAATTTCAGATGCTGCTTCACATTTTACAAAAATATGAATTCTCCACATATTGGTGGTATTTGTTTTGGAACATGCCTGTAGGCAATAAAGGATTGGCACAGCCCAAACCACCTCCTAGTGCAACTGCAAAGCTTCTATACCATGAAGGGGGAGAGAGAAAATGGGGCATTGATTACTCAGGACTTTCTGCTTATCACCTGCTCTTTATTGTTCAACTCAGGCCTCAGAACAATCAGGTAGCATTTGGGGAAAAAGATACAGCACAGCAATCCAGCACTGGATGCTAAGATGGAGAAGATCTCCATGGCTACCATATATTTCCCTTTGGTGCTCAAGTATGTCGGAACAAAGGACAGCCAAACAGTGCAAAACACCAGCATGCTGAAGGTGATGAACTTGGCTTCATTGAAACTGTCAGGCAACTTCCTGGCAAAGAAAGCCACAGTGAAACTGATGATGGCCAGAAGTCCGATGTAGCCCAGGACGAGATAGAACATGAGGACAGACCCTGAATTACATTGCATGATGATTTCTGTAGCAATTGAGTGCATGTCTAAATCTTGGAATGGGGGAGAGCTTCCAAGCCATACTGAGCAAAGGCCAACTTGAAAAAGGGAGCCAGAAAGAACAATGGTGTTCGGCAGTCTTTTTCCCACCCACTTTCTTAGATGGGACCCTGGTTGGGTAGCCATGAAAGCTAGAAGAACAGTGATGGTTTTGGCCAACACACAAGAAACAGACATGGAGAAGATGATGCCGAAAGCAGATTGTTGGAGAAAACAAGTCACCTTCCCAGGCTGGCCAAGGAATAGAAAAGAAGAGAGGAAGCTGAGCAGGAGGGAGATGAGCAGCACAGAGGTGAGTTCTCGATTGTTAGCTTTGACTATAGGTGTATCTCTGTGCTTAATAAAAGTTCTAAGAACCAATCCTGTGATCAGGGAAAAGGACGTGGCCACAGAAGCTAAACTGATTCCTAAGGGTTCTTCATAAGACAGGAAGCTTATTGTTTTAGGGAGGCATCCATCTCGGTCCTTGCTTGGATATTTCCCTTTAGGACATGTGGAACAGCCATCCATGTCTGAAAAAAGAAAGGAGGGATAACAATCATCCATCACTGAGGTCAGATATAATAGACATAATAAATTCAACTCTTTTGTAAAGGTCTTGGAAATGTTCTGGTTTCAATAGCTGAGCATTCACTAACATTGTTCCATACATTTCTAATGGATTTCACTACTCATGAGCCACAGCCACATGAACAATGACTTGGAATGCTAGGGGTTGTCATGCAAGATATCTGGAGTTCACCACATATGGAAAGCAATGAAAGAAATTTGAAAGCAAATGCAAAGATTGAGCTACACCAAATCAGACTAGATTCATAGACTTATGAGCACATTACATTCTCCTGATTTAAATTGAGATATTCAAATAATGTTTAGGTCTACAGCAAACCCAGTTGTTGAGTCATTGACCATGTCAGAGCAATCCTATCCATGACTATGCATTCATTCCAATAAACTTAGTCCCAAGTAGGCATGTAGAGCAGGAGGGGAAAGCCTCTTTCAGCTGGAGGACTAAATTCTGGTTGAGAGAAGCTTTGGGGGATGTACTGCAAAGTCAGGCAAGGTCAATGGTTAAGGAGATGCTGCCCATCTCACTCCTGCTCGGTTTCCTCTCTATTCCTCAGCAAGCTTGGAAATCTGACGTGTTTTCTTCAACTATCTGCTTTCAGCATCATCTGCACCATGATTATGTCTCGCGTGTTGGCCAAAACAGTCACTGTCCTTCTAATTTTCATGGCTATCCAACCAGGGTCCCATCTAAGACAGTGGATGGGAAAAAGACTATTCAATACTGTTGTTTCTTCTTGTCCCCTCACTCAAGTTTGCCTTTGCTGACTATTTCTCTGAAGCTCTTCCTCATTCCAAGATTTAGACATGCACAGAAGTGGGAATACCATAGCTTAAATGACAGGAAGCCACCCAATGATCAGTGGTGGGAAAACTTGAGAGGTTGTGGAGCCTTCCAGGGAAACTGAACCCGTGACTACAGGATAGTTGAATGTGTGTCCTGGTCCTAAGGGTCTTCATTCCCAACCTCAGTCTTGTTCATGCACAATTCAAATAAGGAGGCTCACCATGTAGGCAAGAATGAGGGTTGCACAGATGCCCCAATAAGCAAAACTGAATAAGCAGTACAGTGAAAGTGCTTTTAGCAGGAAGGCCTTTCCACTCCCTTCTCTGCAGAATCTCAGTCATGGAGTATTAATTGTGGAGAACCCTCTGCACAAAGTGCATTCCTAAAGCTCTCCCAACTGCAAGCTTTCACACTGTGTGGCTTTATTTAGTTATTTAGTTATTTATCAATTTATATCCTGCCTTTTTCCTACAAAGGGCTCAAGGCAGCTTACATCATTCTCCTCCTCCATCTTAGCCCCACAACAACAACCCTGTGAGGTAGGTTGGGCTGAGAGTCTGTGACTGGCCCAAAGTCACCCAGTTGGCTCCATGGCTGAGTGGGGACAAGAACCCAGATCGTCTGAGTCCCAGTCCCGTGCTCTTAACCACTACACCACACTGGCTCTCGCCTGTTACAGTTACAGTTACATTACATTACATTACAGTTGCATTACAGGTAAGGATGGCTGGGGATTTTGTATTTTTGATATGATCCCTAAGAAAATTAGGGCTAAACAGGAAGTAAGCATTCAAGGAAGGTAAATGGAAGCTTTAAGAGTGAGAAAAGTGAACACTGTCAGATCTGTCTGTCCAGTCCTAGTCAATTCTTGGTTGTCTGTAGTTCTGTCAGGATCTACATAAACTGCTTGTATCTTCTTTTCTTCCAACAGACTGATTCTTCATCTTTAACAGCTCTATGGCAGACCATTACAACATGACAATTGCTGTTGTAAGATCATCTGTGCCTACTGAATTTGACTGAGTCAGATGGGACAGAGTTTTGCTTGTTTTTCAGCTCACTTTTGATAAGTTTTTTTCAAAACATTTGCTAAGTACTTCATGTGTCAGAGGAGAACAACAACAAGGTAATAACCTGAGATTTGAAAATTTCAAATAAAAGAGAAAGCAAAGCATTTTGGAAAATTCAGATGATGTTATGCATGAATATTCATGCAAAAACAAGCCAAACAAGCAAAAACCAAACAACACAACCAAGTCCCAACATCTAATATGAACTAGATTCACAAACAGCTTCTAGGTAGACTATGGAGATTGTCATTGAGTTTGAGTTTTCCTGATTCGTGCATCCCTAACAAAAAAAAGTAAAAAAAAAAAAAATCTCCTCCTCAACATATTTTAATGTTTCTATGTCAATCGCTCATCATTTCATGTCACAAAGACAAATGCCTTAAGTGACATCCTGAAAAATTATTGCATTTGAACTCATACCCTTTCCATCAGGGATGCAATTCTGCTAGAGCCCTCCTAAGCTCTGGAAAGCCTGGAAAACATTGCATGGCTAGGAAACAGGTACTGACAGACTAACATGTCACTGTATGGAGTCATTCTCATTAAGTTATATGCTAGGAAATTTTGATACTCTACAACACCTACCAGTCTGGTTGGAGATCTTCCCTTCTGGACAGGGAGCACAATCATAGCAGCAAAATTTCTTCCCTTCCTTCTTTCTTTTATGGTATCCAGCATGGCAGGGGTTGCTACACTTCGAAAGGGGACGTACCTACACATACACATAAGGTAAGTTTAACATGGATGAAATTAAATGCATTGGTTCTTTGGCTGATGGAGCAATAAATGCACCCAAATCAGAGCACGTGCACAGTGGAGGAAAATCCCCAAAAGCTCAGCCAGTATGTCTTTGTGCATCACAGGGATTTGGATTATTAGGATTTTGACCATTTGCTTAGGTATCAAAGCAAACCTCCTCCCCATAGATGGATGAGTTTTCACATAGCATATTCCAGAATGCACACCTTGTTAAAACTCTTGTGCCACTCAATTATATCCTCATTAATGATGAATGCATTCCTTTCAAGGGCATTGGGGTTCACCCTTCCAACCTTCACTCTATGGAAGGAGTTGTTTGAAAATGTGACCATGTTCATTATGTCAAACCCAGTAACCATCTCCCTGTTATCATTAAAGGACATTGTTTCTCCAGCTGAGTTGTTAAAAGAAATGCCTTGAAGAAATGTATGGAGCTATTTGAGAAAGAAAAAGAAACCAAGGTAAGATATGAAAGAATGGGACAGGTTGCAATTCAGCTTAAGTGCAAGCACCTCATCCCATTCAGCAGCTACCTCCAACATTCCCTATTGAATTTTAGGGGTCTAGATTGGGTGTTATGGGGAAGAAAGGATACAGAAAGTCAGCTTCCACCTGTACAGGTATAGGCACCTAAATCTGCATTCAACCTTAATCCATGTCAAAACTGAGAGCCAGTATGGTGTAGTGGTGAAGAGTGTGTGACTGGATCTCAGGAGTTCTGGGTTCTAGGTCCCACTCAGCCATAGAGTTCACTGGGTTCTTTGCCAGTCACTGACTCTCAGCCCAGTCCAGGGTTGCTGTTGTGAGGATATGATTGTGAGGAGGAGAATGAAAATTATGAAAACCATCTTGTGTTGCTTGGAGGAAACATGGTGGGATATTAGATAGATAGATAGTTCCATGTTTCCTAACAAAGCTCTAAAATTATGCAGGTTGAAAGTGCAGTAAAAGAAAATGGAAAGTTAACATGTATTTTGTTCTAGACTACAAGTAACAGGGCATCTGGAAAACTACTCTTCTGTGCAGGGAAACATCATATCACTGGTCATTTGTGGAAAACAAAGTTTGATGCTCTTTTACTTTAGTCTGATACAGCCATGGTAACAAACCTGGGAGATCGTACCTGCCAAGGCTGGAGGTTTTGAAGCTCAACACTTTTATACCTCTTCACTCTTCTATGATGAGATCTAGAGGTTTCCATGCCATGCAAAGCATGGGCTATTGCATAGACTGCAGTGTAGACACTATAGCTGTGACCAGTCATATGGATTTCAAAAACAGATTTGGGAAGGTTCTTCAGTTTCTCTCCTCCAGTGCATATTTCATTGCCTGTCATTGGCATGCTGAGATTTGAAAGCGAGCAATCGAAGGCTTGTTCCCAGAATTCCTTGAGAAAGCCATCTCCTTGTGTCCCAAATGGTGTTATTTTCTGAAGATAGGAGAGGAACCCTAGAGGTTCTTCAGAAGGAATAGCAAAGGAAATTGCCCCATGGAATAGCTGAAAATCCCAACTTACAATCAAACCCATGAGTGTAAAATCAATCTGGGCTGCCATAATCCAGACGTTCCCAGCACTTGCTGTTCCCTTATATTCACGATCTGCTAGAGTGAGTAACGTGCTCAACCACATAATGGTCAATGTTTCACCATAGATGACACATGCTCTTGCTTTCCTATCCATTAACGGTAAATATAATTTTGAGGCCAATGCATTGAGTTCATTTATGGCCAGCAAACGGCCCTGTCTGGGGATTCTTGCTTCAAAGGCTGAACAGATTCCATTCCGGGACAGCAGGGGCTCCATGGCTTGCAGGAAATGATCTCCACTGTCATCATCTATGACAAAGAGACCAACCCATCTCCACTGGAAGTGTTGAAGCAAGTGGATAATCCCCATGTACTGATAGGCTTCATTTGAAACCACACGATAAAAGGACACAACCTGCCTCATATCACTGTCTTCTAGGGCAAATGTTCCATATGTGAGCTGAAAGAGAAAAGTCATATACTTAAGAGTGGAAATGAGTAACCCAGGACATGCATACGTAATTGCCCTATTATTCAATGGGTAATTGGTGAGCCAAAGACCTGAGGCTGTCCTGCTTTGACAAGTGGTAAAGGTCATGGTGATGGCCTTCCAAGATTTCACAGGCTGCAAAGTGAGAATTGTCTGGGAATACAAATGGAAGTGAAAACTGATAGGGTCAGTCTGATCCCATCACCCATTTATGGCTATTTTTAAAATACCATGCAAAGGTCTTGTTTTTCTGTCAAATCTTAACTTTCTAGCTACCAAACCCTCCTTTTTTCCTCAGCTATAAAAATATTTTTATTTCATGTCCAATGATTTCAGTACTAGATTTCTATAGACACACACTGTTGGAAGAGAGAAAGCCAGTTACTCTTGGTATAAACTCTCAAGGCCCATTGGATGGGATCCAGAGGAGGCAGAGGAAAAGCTGCAGGGGGCCTCCAAATGTGATCCAATTCCAGACACTGAGCTGAGAGAAGGCAACCTCTTCTCTCAAGGCAACCTCTGAGAATAACCAAAGGGAGCTTGAAACGGGAGATTCTCAGACAGATGAGGCAGCTACAGGTCTCAACCCCATGAAGTGACATCCTCAGATGAAGGTTGACTAGAGGAGAGTGTACAGAGAGGAGTTGTGCCCATTTCCAAAAGGATGAAGTTAATGAATGGCGGTACAGTGACAGCAGAATTAATGCCATGCTGTGATTTGTGGATACGGCACCTTCCATGAATTGCTCTTACCTGTGGTATCTTGTAGATGCTTAAAATGTCTTCCATATGGAAAGAGGTATCAGAGCCCAGTCCACCAATGACACTTATCAGGTGATTCTGGGTATCACACTTGTAGTTGGGAACAAAGCTTTGTGTTTTGAAGAGCAGGTCTAGCATGGACCGATACGTCAGCCTTGCATCGTAGTAGCTGTCGTAGACAAGGTGGCCTAGCGTAATATTGGGCAAAGTCTTGTGATTCTCATTGATCTCTTTGATGGCAAATGCCAAAGCCAGTGCATGTTGGTAGAATTTTGTCACCAAGCTGTCAACAAGGTATTATGTATTATTTCAAAAGAGAATTCTCTAGTACATGTACTCATTCTTCTCCTTGGTATTATGTCTGGAGGTCAGATTTTCAGCACAGAGCACAAGAAGATCATCAAGATCAATTTTGAGAGGCAATTAAAAAAAATGTGAAATTTAGGCTCAGTTGTGGTTAGAATTTATTAGAGCAGCAAGAACACAAATGTTATAAGACTGCTATCTGCTCAATAGAGACTTGAGCAGATAGAAAAGATGAGGCATTGTTGTGCCTGGTTTGTGGTCGTAGGGGCTTCAAAGAGATATTTCTCATCTCCTTGCATTGCATCCCTGGATACATTACTCTCCAGAACTTTTGTCATTGGAAAATGGAAAGTAGGAACAATATGTTGGTTTCTTCAAAGGCCTGGTATAGAAAGTTTTCTAGGAACTCAGAAGGTAAATGAGCTTACCTTCACTTTGTCCTAGACATAATTAATGAGGACATTTGGTTTTGTAGGAATGGGTCCACTTGCTGATGCCTTACAATGTGCCCAAAGAGTTGTCTATCTGTTGTCTATCCTTGCTACTCTTGGTTTCTTGTCTTTAGCTGAAGGAGATGCACTGGGTGGAACTAGGAGCCTTTGCATGAATCAATGAATTATTGGATGGAGAAGTTGGGAGAGGTCTTAGCTGTCTTGAAAGCGATAATTATAGGACCACTTTTTAACAAAAAGAAAAGGTTTTGCTGGGCCTAGAAAGTTCTAATAACTATTGATTATCACATCTATTGAATTTTGGGGCATGGTAACATGGGAAGTGGTGGTAGTCCAACTCCAAGAATGTGTGCTGGTGTGTTTGAGGCAGATTAACTAGACTAAGCTCAGTCTGAATAAAAGCCATGTCTTGCCCAATTTGTTGGGAAAGAGTTGTGGGGAATGCAACCATGATTTCCTAGTGTCTTTCAATAGGGCCAGAGTATGGTCTGAAGGCACATAAGGAATCCACCCTGTTGAAGCTAAGCAGGTCTGGGGCTGGCCTGAGCCTGGAGTGACAGACCACCTGGGAACTGCATGTAGCAGTTGAGTTCCACAATGGAAGAAAGGAAGGATGTAAATTTAATTACTTAATTAATTAATTAATTAATTAATTAATAGAATTAACCGAAGTATCTTGCAAACCAGGTAGATTTGTTGGGGTTGGGACTGGGTTTAGGTTAGCGTTAATGTTATACCAGTATGATGGTTCTACTCTTTACTTGTAGTCATTCTTTCAAAGTGTTGGATGGAGGAATTCTGCTGAACCCATACCATTTCAGGTGTGTGGTCACATCCTCTTTTAGAATCTACTCGGTGAGCCCCTATTAATGATGAATCATCAAGGAACTCTGTTTCTCTGGAGCATCTAAATCAGGCAGTGTTGTAGAAGTACAAAAGCATTGTCTGGGCTCCACTGCACTCCATCAATGGGAGAAATTCATTGTGTATGTGCAGAACACAGAACCTTCTCCGTGGCTGCACCCAAGCTCTGAAATAGATTTCCATCTGATGTCAACCTTGTATTCTTTCTGGAGCAAGTCAAATGCCTTGTTCAACATATTAGTCATGAGTCTCAGTTTTGTTCTATTGATTCAATTGTTATTATTTTAATATATTCCTTTGTTCATGATTGAGTTTTATCTTTTTTGTTTCATTTTTTAAATCAAACTACTCAGCATCATCATTATTCTTATTATTATTTCATATGTAATGACTACTGACATGCCTTGGTATCCACTTTCTTCACTGCTTGTAGATATCTTCTCAACAACCTTAACTGGCTTTCCAAAAGGTATTAGAAGAAACACTTACTTATTTAACTCCAATTCTGCATATTTGCATACTCATACACTTTTCTAGGGACTGCTTCAGCTCTGGTATATTTCTCAATTATTTTCACTTAACTAGTACATAAATCTCTTGCACAGAATTGTCCATCTTGCCACTGACCATAGGCATTATTGAATTACGAATTCTTACATGTTTAAGCTCACATGGAGCAGAAAGCAGATTAAAAGTGCAGTCCTTGATGGCGCCAAAGCTGAAGTCCAACTGGAACCAAAACCTGAACCTGAACCCAAACTCTGATTAGCCGTAGGATTGCTAAGATCCTCAGTTACAAGACTAGAAGCATCACACCAACCCTGTAGCTGAGGACCTATCCCTGGATTTCCTTCCCCGTCACCCTTGCAACTGGCATGGAAGGAACTGCACTGGCCTTGTTTCTGAAGTCAGAAGAGTGACCTCAGAGAATGGTTTTCAGAGGGAGTTCCAAGGCAAGGGGCATGAAGAAGAAGGGCACCACCAAGATGTTCCAATGTCTCCCAATATCTCCCAAGCCTGCTCCCCTTCCTCTCTGAAGTGCCACTCTTAGACAGCAGGAACTGGCCATCTAGCTGACTTCCAACATGGGAGAAGCACAGTAGTAAGCACTGTGCTTTCCCACCCTTAACTGGATGCCCAAGTTCGAGGGTTACTGGCATCCCAAATAAATCAATTCTTACATGGGAAGGTCAAAGCCAAGCTCTTGAGAAGGGTGTTTCTGGAAGGACACTTGGGAGAAAATATAAATGATCTGAGAAGTAATCCCACCAATGATGAGGTCTCCAGGCTGGCGCCACTCATGCAGAACAGGAAGGGCATTTCCATGGCACTTTGTTGGATGTACTTTGTGTGCTCTGCAAGGCAAGATCAACAGCAACACCACCAATGCCAACATCTGGTGGTAGGAGCTTCCACCTCGATCAGACTCTCTTCTGTTCTTCTGTGGTGCTCAGATAAGTGTCAGCCTAATTTGAGGAAGATACGTTGCAGAGCAGGTGGCCATTTCAGAAAGAGGATTTAACGGAGAGTATCTTTCCTAGCCATACCATTCCAAAACCAGATTATACTGACCAAACACAACAGACATGTAATGGAATGGTTACCATTCAGTCTGGCAGCACTCTGTGTGCAACCTTGCCCTCATTCCAGCTGTGAAAGGCAGCAGTGGGGCTGATAAGCCCTTTATGGTTTATGTAAGGATTGCTTTTTTTCTAGTACCTTTAGGAAAGCCATTCATGGTTGTTGAGAAGAATCAATAGTTTCAGATAATTGCAAGGAGATAATGGTAGCTCCTGCAAGGTTTGATCTCTGAGGACATCACTGGTAAAAAACACACACAAGCCACCCCACCCCACCCCACAGCTTTGTTGCTTAGTGGGAATACTATCAGAGGCAGATTCAGGGTAACCACAGTAAAGCTCCAAGGAGCAAAGATGCTGCATGCAACATGTAAGCAAGGAAGAAATTATTGCTTGAAAGTGGTTTGTTTTGTTTTGGGGTTTTTTCCTCTAACCCAGCACTTCTGCAAAATGCTTTCCTCTTGCAGGAACAATCTGAGTCCTTGCCCCTTAGGTGTAGCTCTTTCTGTATCGATGATAGTGAACCTCTAATGTGGTGGGTTCAAATAGCCAGAAGGAGCATATGAGAATCTGGTCCTTTCAATAAGGCAACCCCAATGGAAGAGGCAAGTCATATTGTAAAGTAGTACAAAAAGGAAGACATCTTCAGACTAGAACAGAGACACAGTTAGCCTCTTCCTTCCACAATGAGTTGGCAAAGGAAATCACAACACACACACACACACACACACACACACGGGTGGGATTCTATCTGAAGTAAATAGTGCCTTTGGCATTGCAGCTTCTTTCTATGAGCCTTTCTCCTCCTCCTCCCCCTCCTCCTCCTCCTCCTCCTCCTCCTCCTGGAATGCTGGGCCAGAGCAAGAGGAAAGTATTAAAACCAAATTCCCAACACACTCTAGACTATGCATGGCTGATTTTTCTCAGAAAACCTGTCCCATGCCAAATATAATTTGTAAAGGGCATCTATCTATAAAGAGTTCTATCAAATTAAAATAACCCCTTTAGCCACAATTTCTCTTGCGCAGTTTGCACTCTCTTCCTCTTTCCAAGCAAACAGGGAGATGGACACATTGCTCAGTCAATGGGAATAAAGCAAGCAATGGATGCTGAGGGAAGCAGAGGGTGTAGAGTCGAAGTGGCCACTTCTGCAGCTGTTCTTGCAAGGGTTTTATGATCATAGTAAAATGGTGATCCTTCACCTTTATAACCAGAGACTCCATCGTGAAGCCAAGGAAAGCTTTGGAAAGACCATTGATTCTCTCCAAGATTTCAGAAATCTAATCCTCCTTCACAGGAATTCTGGATTTGGGTCCTTTTCTGATTGTCTCACTATTTTCCATATCTAAAGGGCATGTAACATTTTCTGCAATGATTCACTGCCATCTTTAAGCATTCTTCCTTTTGCCAGTTATAGAACACTGAGGCATGAGGATGGGCAGCATCAACTGACGTCCATGAGGTCTTCTGGGGAAGCTGACAGGACAAATAGTGGTATATGAAGACTTGTGAGCCCGTTCAGCAATAGTCAAATGGGATGAACCTTGGAGTACATAAACACGGGATTCTGCTGATCCAGCTGCCACTGACTTTGGAGTGAGGAGGGCAGCATAAAGAGAAGCTTATGAGAACTAAAACCAAAAAGTACCATTAGCTCCCAGTAGGTGGAACCATTGCATTCTCAAAAGGAGGAGGGAAAAATGAAGCCAGCAAGGGTGTGTAAACATCCAGTGAGTGACCGAAAGGTTCGGAGGTGGTACGTCTGATCTAAAACACTCCTTTGAACCCATGTGTGGTTTTCTGGTGGAAGAGGAAACCACTGCATGGAATAAGGGAAATAAAGGGAAATAAAGGAGGGAAATGAGGGAAATAAAAGCCATGAGACATGAACCTCAGCATAAGTAATATTTAGAAGAAATTCTGCATGAAGGTTAACAAAGGTATGGAGTGAAACATATGTTTTTATGTTCTTAAACATTTTCACAATGTGTGTGTTTTAAACTCACTTTGCTAAACCTGTATCCATCAAGGAAGCTGTTAACCCAACCCTTTCCTTCCAGGGCCTACTGCCCAGTCTTTGCCCAGAGAGGTAGCCCTTCTGGAAACAGCCATTTCTGACCCTTCTAAGTCTGGTGAAATTACTTATACTTATTTAAAATAAAATTTAAAATAGCAGATTCTGTTTCTGAAGACTTTGATGTGATGCCTTTGGGGCTGCACTCCTACTCTTAAGTAAGTCCTTTTTGGAGCAAGGGCTTTTCCAGTGTGAGTGCAGCAAGTGAGGCTGAAATTTCTCTGTGTTCAGGTTGCTTTTAGGATCATAGTCAAAGGCTGTATTGCCACAAGATCTACTTCTGAGTAAACAGATGCAAGATTGTGTTGAAGTGGAATGGGTCAATCCACCTTTCCAGCTTTTCTCTGGAAGGAGTTGTTTTACCATATTCATTATATCAAACCTAGCTTGAAATTTCAACAGCATATTTAAAAAACATTGTTTCTCTGAGTAGTTAAACAAAATGCTTTGAAAAAAGAGACTGGGCTGGATGAAAAAAGGGGGAATCTTCATGCCAGGATTTACAGACACCTGTCTTGCTGTTACTTTTTTAACCACTGCCCACTAATAGCTAGTTTAAGATTAGAACCAGTATTTGACCACTTACCATTTTCAGGCTCCTAAAATAAGAGCAAAGTGAACCCACAGAATTTTAGCAATGAATAATGTAAAGAATTACACCAGCTATCAACATAAGATCATTTTTGCATTAACCTATAGGTGGGAATGTATGACTCGAACACCCTGTCTTTACTTTCATAGGGCTTCTTTTTTGTGTGCATACTCCAAGGATTCAAAAAAACCCATTCAGTTACTCAAAGCCAGGGTTGGATGAGAAAATTCACTGTGGGAGGAGAATTATGTATTTGTTTTTATTGTGTCATTTTTTTATTATTTAGAAGGTACCTCTGGGGCAATCTAGTCTGACCTCCTGCTCCAGCCAGCTCTGCTCATGTAATCCCCAACATGTTGTTGTCCAATCTTTCCTTGAATGCCCTCACTGATGGGGCCTCAACCACCTCACTGGCAAGCTCATTCCATATCCTAGGGGTCCTAACCATCAGAAATCACTTCCTGACATCCAACCTAAAGCCTGATTCCTTGAGCTTTCCCCCACTGGAACACGGCCTGCCCTCCACTGCAGGGAAGGCCATGGCCCTCCTCCACATGGCATCCACTCACATACCTCTAAGTCACTAAAAGATAGCCTCAGACTCTCCTCTTCTCCAGGCTGAAAGTAGAATCATCCTCATCATCTTAATTTATTCTAAGCTAAACCAGCATTCACCATCACTACATACCAAACCATGTGCACTGTGTATGAATGCAAATAGCTGTGGGCTGTGAAATGAATCATGCAGAACTTCTGTCATGGGAAGAGTGCAAATACAAGGACAACTTTCTCTTTAAATCAGACATATCCATCCTCTCAGCCTGGAGATATCCGGGGAGAAAACCTAGTGCTCACTTTTGACTCGCTCTCTCTTTCTCTCTCAGCATTCAAGGGAAAGATGATTGTTTGGCTTCCATTTTCTCAGCAACTAAAGTTTAGAGTCCTGTATCTTCCATAGATAGGTCAGTTACTCTGATGTTGGTGGGCTTCTCTTCCACACAATGTGGATGAGCTGTCCATGGTGCTTCAATTCAGCAAATCTAGTCAGCAAATCTATTCAGTTCCATGGACAGTTCCCATAAAGTTGAAAAGGGAGGCCATAGTGCATGAGAAACTCCCTGATGTACAAGTCACCAGCGTCCCTTGCAACTGATAAATTCCTTGGTGGCTTCCTACAGCTTTCTTTACCCACTGCCTGATGGGTTGGAAATGACTAAATTGGGGTTGATTCTGGCAGCAACCACACTTGGATCATAAAAAAGGCTGGGCTGAGACACTTTTCACAGAGTCTCTTGAGGCTCCCAGATGGCCTGAATGATTGGACAGGCCTTAATTCTGCATGCCCCTACAGATTCAATGCTAATCCTATGACTACTCAGAAAGTAAACCAGGCTGCCTTCTTTATCTGGCCACCAGGAGGAGCAGCATCACTTTGCAATGCCTGACGATGATCAGGTTAGAGGAGAAACATAATGCCAGCTTCCTATTTCGTCATGGTAACTGCATTTAGGTGTGGCTTGTGGCTTGTGGCTTGTGGCTTGTGTTGGTTTAGAGTGCTGAATGTGAGTCTGATTATTTCCACAGCCTGAGAATTTATTTATTTATTTATTTATTTATTAAAACATTTTTATGCCACCCCATTCGCCGAAGCCTCGGGGCGGCTTACAACAATAAGTTAAATCATCATAAAAAACATTTTAAAAAATATACATTAAAATAAAATACAAATATAAAATATAAAATAAGCTGCCCTGGCCAGATAAAATTCAATAATATTAACATTTAAAATGCTGCTTAAATAGAAAGGTCTTCGCCTGGCGCTGAAAAACAAATAACGACAATAATAGAATTGTCACTATCCTGATCCTTTCAAAGTTTGAATCCTGGCAAGTCTTTGCCTCCATATTCTCTTAATAGCTGGAGCTATTTCTGTGGCCCATAGTGAGAAACTGTCCCAACCTACCCATGTCAATATCCACGTAACATGAAAGGAAGTTACCATTGTGGAAGAATTGCTAAAACTTCACCCTCAGACTAAGACCTATGAACTGTGGATCAACTGATCAACTGATTTCAGTACAGAACATTGTAAAGACCCTATGTTAAGGTTCAGTCCCATTCCATTTTTAAAGTCTAAATCACATTCCATTTCTAAAGTCTGAAATGGAGAGAGATCATAAGAACAGAAGAGCATGCTGGCTATGACCAATGTTCCCTCTAGTCCAGCACTCCCTTCACGCAGTGACATAGCATATATGTCAAAAAATCAAAAATCAAAAAAATATATCCCAAGACAAAGCACATCAAGGACAGTATGACATTTTGTTAATTAAGTAAAACAAAATATTTTCAGCTTGAAAGTTTTGTAATTCTATGTATCCTAATTAGTTTGGCTGCATTTGATGAGTTTTCCTTAGCATGTTCAGACCCTGTTTAGATTGTGTTTCATGTGTGTGTGTGTGTATACACAAAATAGAAAACACAAAACAGAAAAGTGTTGGTCACCCTTAACAGTTAAGTGAGGCAACTGGAAAACCTGCTGCTCTCACCTTTAAAGTCAGATTCATTTCTTTCCACATGTACACTTGTAGCTGGGGACATTCTACTCTGCTTGTAAAACTAATGGTTGAAAATGAAATGTGCGGTCCAGCGTTAGTGAGCATAGCTTTGTTCTAATAGTAGAAAGAAAGATAGTCAGCTGGTCAGCATTGGAGCATGTCCCAGAGACAGACCATTCATCAAAAGTCTGGTGAGACAGGATAGTAAAATTTGAACTCTCAGATTACCCATCTGGAGAATGGAGCCCACCTCCTAGAATCCACTCCTGGTTGAACACCATGTGCCATTAATTAGTTTCCCATTCTTTCTTCTTCATGAGCAGTGGGATTTACCCATTAAATTTCTACTCTCCAGAAAGACGTGTTAGGAATGTGACTATGTTAATGATGTCATATCCACCACCCATTTCCTTTCCACCATTAAATGAGACAGTTTCTCCAGCAGAGTTGTTAAAGGAAGTGGCTTGAAGGAATGGGTCGAGCTAATTGAAAGAAAGACACAAATATATAATTGCAGAACTGTGATTTTGTTTCCTGTTTGACAAATAATTTCATTGTTATTACTTAGGTAATTTATGTAGCAAATGAAATTCTAGCTAGTTTGACATGGCAGATATAAAATTTACAATGGAATGGTCAAATTTTTAAAATACTTTTTTCATGTTGATTGTGCAACAGGAAATGTGAATCCACACATTTTCATCAGTGTATCTGATGTACAATATCATTTTCTATGGCAGTCCAAAAATAGTCTCACCTTGTACTAATCTGTTCATTGAATAAGTAGATATTGCCAGAATAACTGTTTGCTTGGAAAATAAGAATATCAAGCATTTGTTTGGTATATAAGGTATACCAGCCTTGCTCCTCCAACAGTCCTGATCCATTCATTGCCCAGAAAGAAGTGCATTAAAGAGAACCATTAAAGTTTGACATGTGTTCTCTTCATTAGGTGTTCCTTGTTGTTAAGCTCAGGCCTCAACAATATAATATAGCATTTTGGGAAAAAGATGCAACCCAGTAATCCACCACTTGAGGCCAAGATGGAGAAGATCTCCACAGCCACCATATATTTGCCCTTGGTGCTCAGGTAGGCTGGAACAAAAGTCAGCCAAACAGTACAAAAGACCAGCATGCTGAAGGTGATGAATTTGGCTTCATTGAAGCTATCAGGCAACTTCCTAGCAAGGAAAGCCACAGTGAAGCTGATGATGGCCAGAAGTCCCAAGTAGCCCAGGACACAGTAAAATATGATGAGAGATCCTTCATTGCATTGTGCTACAATCTCTCCAGGGACTGAGTACATGTCCAAATCTGGGAATGGAGCAGAGGTCCCAAGCCAGATGGCACAAAGCAGAGCTTGGATGAGGGAGCAAGAAAGAACAATGGAGTTGGCCAGTCCTTTCCCCACCCACTTCCTCATATTGGAGCCTGGTTTGGTGGCCATGAAAGCAACCACCACAGTGATCGTTTTGGCCAGCACAGAAGAAATAGCAAAAGAGAAAATGACACCAAAAGCAGAATGCTGGAGGAAGCAGGTCACTTTCCCAGGTTGTCCAAGAAATAGCAAAGGGCACAAAAAGCAAAGCAAAAGAGAGATGAGGAGAATGTGGGTGAGGTCCTGGTTATTGGCTTTGACAATGCATGTATTTTTATGCTTTATAAAGACCGCTAACACCAAAGCTGCTGTCAGTGAGAAGGCAAAGGAAACAGAGGTGAAAGTGATCCCTAAAGGTTCTTTATATGAGAGAAAGGTTATAATTTTAGGGATGCACTGATTTTGGTCCTTGCTGGGATATTGGTCTTCTGGGCACTTGGAGCATTCATCCATATCTGGAGGAGAAAAAAAACAGGTCATTTCTGAATTTGAGACAGTTTTCATGACTGTGATTTTTCATACCCCACCCTTTCTGTTTTCTGCCTATTGGCTCTAGGTTTGAATACGGCCTTCTGGGGAAAAAGCATTCCCCAGCTATGCTGCTGCTTATTATTTTCAGCTTCCATGATAATTTATGTTGACTTCTGTATTATTATACTTAGTGAGTGGCCAAGTGAGAACTAGAACTCAGATCTTCCAGTTCCCAATCCGACACTTTCAACATTACATTACACTGGCTCTCCAAGAATTTTCTCTCTTAATTGCATTTAAAGCATTTTAAAAATGTGTATTTTTCAACAAGTCTTTAAAAATATCCTCTCTTCTTCCTCTGCCTCTCTCTCAATCCCCTCTACCTGTATTTGTGGGGTGAGGAGCAGGAGACACTGTCATCTAATGTAAACACAGATTGCTGCTAAGTTTTTGTAACCTGAATCACAATACTTATGTTTTATGGTTTATGATGCTCATGGCACCCTGTATGCATTGTTATACTGTGCACTGTTCTAAGTGTGATATTCAGGGGATTTAACAACAGCATGCTGAAAACTAATGTGAGAAGGCAGCACACAGGGATGTCAGAAAAACTACAGTGCAATCTATAACTTAATGGCCTTGGAATCTCCAGTTGTGCTACATACACTGAATACAAAATATGTGAAAAGGAAGACCATGCTTCTGACCAACTGTGAAAATTAAAGCAGCTAGTTTTGCAATGTGACCTTTCCCAATTCTGTCTGGTTTGCATGTGCACTTATGCCAAAAAGACTCACCTGCAAATAAACCATAAACCTCAAAAAGTGTCATATTGGAAGTGATGTATTTCCTCTGATCACTAGCTTAATACACTCAATATTGATATTAATTAATATCAGCACTACCTTGATAAGATGTTTATTTATTTGTTTGTGTGAAAGTGTCAATGTACCTCTTTGTTACCTGTGTTATCCACACATGGAAGAATATGTGAAGCACAATATTACCTACCCTTTTTGTTTGAAATCTTCCCCTCTGGGCACAGAATGCACTCATAGCAGCAAAATTTCTTCCCTTCCTTCTTTCTCTTCCAATAACCAGGTTGGCAGGCATCATGACACATGGAAAGTGGCAGCACCTATCCATAAACTTGTAAGGAGCTTAAAAGGTAAAGGTAAAGTTTTCCCCTTGATGTTACATCCAGTCATGTCTGACTCTAGGGGGTGGTGCTCATCTCTGTTTCCTAGCCAGCGTTTGTCTGCAGACAGTCTCTGTGGTCATGCAGCCAGCATGACTAAAGACCAAAGTGCATGGAACAGTGTTACCTTCCCACCAAAGTGGTACTTTTTTATCTACTTGCATTTGCATGCTTTCTAACTGCAATGTTGGCAGAAGCTGGGACAAAGCAACAGGATCCCACCCCATTGTACAGATTCGAACCAGCGACCTTTCAATCAACCAGACCAGCAGCACATTGGTTTAACCCACTGCGCCACCTGCATCCCTGTGAGGAGTTTAGGAAGGAAGAAATTCATTGTGGTTGAGAGTGCAGGATTGGAACTCAGGGGATTGGAGTTCTAGTACCATGGAGCCAAATGGGTGACTCTGGGCCAGTCACAGACTCATGGGGTTATTGCTGTGGAGATAAGATTAAGAGCAAGAGGAGGAGAATGATGTAAGCCACTTTGAGTTTGTTGCAAGAAAAGAGGTGGGATATAAATCTAATAAATAAATAAATATTGTTCTTATCACTCTTGATGGTGGTAATGGTGAATTAATCTACAAAGGAACACATGTTCAATTAATATGGCAGAACATATAGCACGGATGAGTACTTTCCTAATTAAATGCATGAGAAACTTTACCAAATTTGCAGTTCCTTTTCAAATGTCTTCAGCAACATTTATTCTAGATTCATTTCTAGTCTTATGAATCTGATAAAGAGCTCTGGCCACTAAACTCCACTTCACCAGTCCCAGCATCCATACCTGGTTAAAGCTCTTGGGCCACTCAATTATATCTTCATTAATAATTAGCCCTTTTCTTTCAAAAACTTTGGGAACCACATATCCAATTTTTACTCTATGGAATGAAATATTTGGAAATATGACTATATTCATTAGATCAAATCCATCAACAATTTCTCTGCCATCATTAAAAGACACAGTTTCTCCAGCAGAGTTGTTAAATGAAATGCCTTGAAGAAATGAATGAACCTAGTTCACAGGAAAAGAAAGAAAGACTAGAAAAGCACAACATATTGAAGCCTTTAAGTCAACCCTTCTAGACAAGTTGCCTTGTTGATACTTTCTTGGGACTTTGCATGTACGAAATAGACTTTGGAAATGTAACCAAGTACCTTTTTCAGCCATTAAATATAGGAAAGTAATGTGACCCCCAACATTTTCCCAGTGAATAATGTGTACATCATTTCATTGCTGCATTACACTGATAGCTGCTATTTCATCTTATATTTATGTCAGTGAAGCCATTCTGGAAGCATTACCTGCCAAGGCTGAAACTCTGCAAGTCTTCTCCTTCCCACCACTGCTCCCTGTTTGGATATAGGCATGTCCATGGCGTGCAAAGCATGGGCAACAGCATAGACAGCATTATAGATACTGTAGCTGTGCCCAGTAAAATGCCTTTCAAAAACAGCTGATGGAAGGCTTTCCAGTCTCTCCTCCCCAGTGCAAATTTTACCATCTTGTTTTGTTAGATCTGGACTTGGAAATAAGCAGTCAAAGGCTTGCTCCCAGAACTCTTTGAGGAAACCATCTCCTTGTGCCCAGTAAGGTTTTACATTCTGGAGATATGTCTGGAATCCGAAATGTTTATTAGCATGAATTGTGAAGGAAATGGTGCCATGGAACATTTCTAAATTTTCATGTGTTATGAAGCGTGTGACTGAAAAATCAATCTGGGCTGTCGCAATCCACACCTTTCCAACATATTCCTTACGTACTGGATCTGCTAAAGCCACCAGTGTGCTCAGCCAGATCATGGTCAGAGATTCACCATAAATGACACAAGCTTTGGCATTCCGGTCCATGAAATGGAGATAAATATTTGATGTCATAACACTCAGTTCAGCAAAAGTAAGCAAGAAACTTTGGTTTGGGATTCTTCCTGTGAAGGCTGAACAGATGCCTTTCTGGGAAAATAAAAGCTCCATGACCTTCAAGAAATGTTCTCCACTTTCATTATCCATCACATAAAGTCCAACCCATGTCCATCCAAATTGTTGAAGCAAATCTACAATCCCAGAATACAAAAGAGCTTCATTTGGGACCATGGAGTAAAAGGAAGGGCTGAGTGTCTTATCATGTTCTTTTGAGGCAAGTGATCCATAGGTAAGCTAAAAGGAAATGTGCATTTGTTTTAGAGATGGGTTAAGAATACCCAAATTCATACGGACACTGTGTATGTGAATACATTCAGTGAAGTCAAGATTAATTGTGGTTGTATTCAGGGCATTTCTGGGTGAAGTAACAAAATGATCAGAGATATATTTTAAACAAAACTGACTTCTCTGCACTACTTTGACATCCAGATGGTCTGAAGTCAGTGACCAGTTCTTCAATTCCAGTCAATCTCCCCTTTCCCTCATTTTGATTCACCAAATCACACATAGAATTACAAAAATGAATAAGTGAATATCCATTCACAAATCTTACCTGTGGGATCTTGTAAAGATGTAAGATGTCTGCCATACGGAAGGAAATATCAGAACCCATTCCTCCAATAACAGCTATTGGATTTTTCTGGCTACCACATTCATAGTTGGGGGGCAAATCTGTGTGAATTGAAAAGCAGACCCAGAGTGGTACAATAGGTCATCTTCACATCATTGTAGCTATCAAAGATGTGGAACCCAAGTGTGATGTTTGGCAAGATATTGGGGTTCTTGTTGACCTCATCAACAGCAAATGCCAAGGCCAGGGTGTGCTGGTAGAACTTGGTCACCATGCTGTGAATAGAGTTAAGCTGTCAGTCATAAACTCTACAACGCTTGTCATTATGGATGATTCAGGATTTCAGTCTTTGTAAAATCCAATATTTGTTTGTTTGGTTTTTGTTTATACATGTATTTATAAGCCACCTATAACTGCCGAGGCCTTCCTAGGCAGCTTATAGTACATTGAACAATAGATGTTTCTGCAAAAAAAGGCAGATCTCATACAGATATGAATCTCAACAGGCACTGGAATTGAGAAAGCATCAATGTGTTCAAGTTTTCTTGATTCACCCAAATTTATTGAGAATTCTGCTATAAGTGTGTTGGTTTCCAAGGATGCAGGGAAAGGTGAAATAATTGCTTACATTGGAAGATCAAAGCCTAGGTCCTGAGAAGGGTTGTTCTTGAAAGGAACTTCTGGAAAAAGACACAAGATTTGAGAAACCATCCCTCCAATGAGGAGTTCTCCAGCCTCATACCATTTGTGAAGAACAGGGAGGGGTCTGGATGGAAGGCAGCTGTTGGCTTCTCTCTTGCACTGCATATGGGGCAATAGACACACCAATTCCAATAGGAAGACTATCAGCAGACAGAGATTCTCTTTAGATGCTAATGTTAGAAAGCCCATTCCATCTGAGGCCTTGTCTCTGGCAGCAGGTCACTTTAAACAAGCCATGCTCCAGGGCAGCTTACTCCACCACCATCAGTGGTCAATAAAAGGGCATCAAGCCTGGCTTTAATGCCAACAAATGTAGGAAAAGCATGTCCTGAGTGACAACAAACAACATCAAAATAATGGGAAGCCAAGATGATACTGTATAAATGATGGAGGACTCACCCTCCACTTCTGCTCATGAAACCCATCTGTGAATGATAGAAGTGGAAGGAGCTCAGACTGTTGCCAACTGGCTTTTTTTGTCTCTCCTCTGGAAAGCTGCCAGTGCTTTGCCAAGGAGGCTTGATGATGGTGATCCAAATAATTACAGCGGGGAGAATTATGTCTGCTGCGATGTTTGGTCTCCAGGGGCATCAAAGATAGCCAACGAAGCTGCTTCTTTTCCTGCTGTTCATTAGCCAGAGAGTAAGGAGAAGAAAAATTCCTGTGGCCACAGTGAACAAATACCAACAGGTGATGCAGACTGCAAAACAGGTTTGCACACCTCATGGCCCTCAGCATCTTCTAGTGTAGGCCATAGAACTTTACAGCACCAGACTAGGGCATGAGTGTTCATCTAGATCTTTAAAGCTTCCCCTCCTCCGCCACCTCCTCCCCTTCCTCCTGGTATTTGGAGGAGGGAATTAAAACTATCCACTATTTTAGTCCTTTTGGTGTAGTTTTAATTCTTGTAGCTGATTTTAATTTTTGCAATTGCTTTACAATTTATGCTGAGTTGGTCAGACCATTGGTGCTTTATATGTATGGATTGCTAGTGTTTTTCTTGTGATGTGATTATATTATGTTCTTGTTATGCTTTCAAATATCCTGTCCCACACCCAGAAAAAATTACTTTAGGAGGTGTTTAATAAAACCAATCGATCAATGAAAAGGTAAACTCATGAAGAGGTTTCCTTTGAACTTGTGCAAAGTGCATAAAAGCTGATTACAGCTCTTCCGTCATCATGGATTAAAGCAAGAGGACAACTATGGAATGTATTAGCTCTTGACAGTTTCCAGGCACCAACTTTGCTGGGTTTTAGGCACCTGGCAAAAACCTTCCTTTCTCAGTGCACCTATTGTGCTACTGCACCATTTATGTGAGGGGTCTTCAAAAAGATTCCTCCCTTTTATATTTTTATAAACATGTTTTATATATAAGTTGGTATGATGCTGGGAAAAATGCATCACAAAGGAAGGTTACTATGTAGAAAAGTGATATATTTTGTTTTTGATTTCTTAATAAATAGAGCTTTCAAAAGTACGGAAACTTTTTAAAGAGCCCTCTTATTATTACATTATATTATATTTATTTTTATTAATTATGTATATTATGATTTTATCTTATTTTATTAAGATACTTTAAATTGCATTCATTTCATCCAATGATATTTTTTAGTATTTTTTTATTGTAATGGCTGCCCAGAGAGCATGGTGCTAATGAGCAGCTTTCAAACAAATTCAATAAATTAATGAATAAGAAATAATTAAGAAACTCTAGTGCTGCCAGGGTTCCTCCTGTCTTGGTGGGACCAGTGTCCTCCTCTCCTTGCTCCCTTCCCCTTCCCCTGAGATCACTTTTGTAGCCTCAGAATGCCAGCCATCTCAGTTCTTTTTCCACTGGATATGAGAGGAAGGAGGGTTCCTCACACAGAGATTCCCAGTTCTGCTATCAAAGTGAGAAATGGCACTCAGAACACTTCCAAGTGCCTCTAAGATGCTGTCTAAGGGGCACAGGATCATTCTGCTAATGATGCTCACTTGAAGGTGATGATTTTATCAGTTGGTTTGCAAACAGCCTTGGAAGGCTGAAACATTGTGAGAGCCTTAGCTAAGGCTTTCAGTGCATGTGCTTCAGCAGAAAACCAGGTTTGATGCTGTGCAAGAAAGTCCCCCAGTTGATTTTAAAATATATGAAATAAGAGGAGATGGATTCAAACACCTGATACACAGGAGTAGACTGAGTAGCAGCAGTGATGGTTTTATCTGCCTCCCACCTCAGAGGAAATTTACATGCATCTCTCTCTTGTTCTCTCTCAAAGTTGAACTGAGACTAAATTCTTACCCACCATGTAGGGAATTTAGATGAAGGAATTTTAAATTGCTGTATTGTTGATTATATTGCTTTAAAATTATGTATACCATCTTGAGATTTTTTAATGAATAATATATAACAATGTTGAGTAAATTTATTTATTTACCCTATGAATAAAGAAATAAAATATATTGGTTCTACATTCTGATGAAATAGGAGCAGAAAAGGATTGGAGTGATTGCAATGTAGCATAACCGAAATCCTAGAGTAGGACCACGCCATTCTCTTGATGCCAAAAATACTGTGGAAGAAATGCCGAAAGAGAGAAGTTGCATTCCTTAATTTGTTCTTCTTATTAGATGCTCTCTGATGTTCAGCTCAGGCCTCAGCAAAATAATGTAGCATTTGGGGGAAAATATACAAACCAGTAACCCTGCACTAGAGGCCAAAATAGAGAAGATCTCAACAGCTACCATGTATTTCCCCTTAGTGCTCAGGTAGGTTGGAACAAAACACAACCAAACACTGCAAAACATCAGCATGCTGAAGGTGATGAACTTGGCTTCATTAAAGCTGTCTGGCAACTTCCTGGCTAGGAAAGCCACTGTGATGCTGATAAGGGACTGAAGTCCCAAATAGCCCAGGACAAAATAGAACATGATGACAGAACCTTCATTGCATTCCTCAACAATTTCTCCAATCTGTGATTGCATGTCACAATCTGGAAATGGGGGAGTGGTTGCCAGCCACACAGCACAAATGCCGGCTTGAATGAGGGAGCAAGAAACAATAACGGAGTTGGCCAGGCTTTTCCCCACCCACTTCCTCATATTGGACCCTGGTTTTGTGGCCATGAAAGCCACCACCACAGTCATGGTTTTGGCCAACACAGAAGAAACAGCCAATGAGAAGATGATGCCAAATGTCGGTTGCCGGAGAAGGCAGGTCACTTTCCCAGGTTGTCCAAGGAACAGCAAAGAAGAGAGGAAGCAGAGAAGAAGAGAGATGAGAAGACTGTAGGTGAGGTCCCGATTGTTGGCTTTGACTAGGGGAGTATCTTTGTGCTTAATAAATGTTCCAAGCACCATGGCTGTGATAAAGGAAAAAGAGATTGTAACTGAAGCTAAACTGATCCCTAAAGGTTCTTCATAGGTCAGGAAGCTTATTGTCTTAGAAATGCACTGATCTCTGTTTTTGCTTGGATATTGATCTTCTGGGCATTGGAAGCAGTAGTCCACATCTGAAATGTGAAATAAGATAGAACAATAACAGTATGGAATCATATTTCACTGTCTGTCCTTTCTTGGAAAGGAGACCAGTGCTTGTCAGTTTCCACATTGCTATTACCTTCATAAAAGTAGTGACTGAAACAGGAGATGGTGGGTATTTCAATTGGGGATGTAGGAGCTTTAAGACCTAAATTAAGAAGCTGCATGTGGCTCAGGGGGCAGAGAAAATACACCCCTAAAGCAAATGAACAAAATCCTTTTTACTTTGTTTCTCCTAGAGCTGATTTGAAACTAACTTACTTTCTCATCCCCTTTATCAGGCTTCAGAGTTGGAGACAAGGAGGACACCAAATTTCAATATGATTCAAGCCCAGAACAGTCCATCCAATGGATTCATATTGCAGATACATGAGTTCTGGTGCATATAAGAAATCTAAAGACTGCTACACAAACATACATTCTTCCAGCTTCCACCCAGAATTCCATCAAAATCCAGTATCTACAGCCAAGCCTGCAGTACAACAGCACCTGTTCAAAGCCATCAGATTCACAACTTATATCAGGCATTTCTCAAACTTTGATGCCCGCCTAAAGAGCAAATAATCAGATCAACAGGGCCAAACATATGTTTTTGATGGGACAGTCTGAGAAGAAAAACAGCAGTACATCTATAGTTTCCAGGAAAGCACCTCAATTGTACCTTCTCTGGTCTACAGCCCATCCTGAAGTCTCTTTCTTAAATAGGCCTTGGATGGTAGGCCAATACTTGCTTACCACCAAAGCTTTAAAGAAGGAGCAGTGCAAAAGTTCACAATGGAGATGCAGGCAGAAGAATCAGATCCTTGGACAGATCCAGGTGCCAACTTTGCCTCCATGTCTCCTCTATCAAAACTGAAACAAAAATGCAGCCTTCCATCCATAATATCAGAGGTTCAAAATAGGTTGCTTTTCTCTGGCCTATGTGAGATAGGCCATGATTTGCTAGAAATACCATGCTGTGTTCCATATATGACAAATAGGTCAGTGTCTATGCAAAGAAATAAATGGAGAAAGATTGGACATCCAGAACAGTATTGTTCAGAAAACAGTGGGGGACCATTAAAGCCCCCAAGGACACCCTGTGAATGAACTTCACTTGACCATTCTTGAACAAAGGCGTTTGTCAAGAGATTTAACTCTACTTCCTGTGATCTGAAATAAGCACAGGGATGACATTTGTTCTTGTCTTGTTTTTAAACTGCACATTAGTGTATTGAGTCATCAATAACATGCAATAATGTGTCTTCTCACCGCCCCAAAATTTTTATGAATGGCAACTGGTAGAGTAATTACTGCCTGTGCTTTTGTTGTTGGCATTCTTGTCTGTATTTTTGATGATGCTGTTTTTGCAAATAAATATGTTCCTATAACAGAGTTTGCACAGTTCGTTTCACCTAACTACTTTCCGTAAAAGTGTTAAGTTTATTATAGAAACATAGAAACATAGAAACAGAGCGAGTCAGAAGGGGCCTCCCAGGCCATCTAGTCTGACCTCCGGCACCAGCCGGCTCCGCTCATGACATGCCCACCATGTGGATGTCCAACCTATCCTTGAACACCCGCACCGATGGGGCCTCAATGACCTCTCGTGGAAGCCCATTCCACACCCTTGGGGTCCTGACTGTCAGGAAGTGCTTCCTGGCATCCAAACAGAACCTTGGATCCCTGAGCTTTGCTGCATTGGAGTGTGTCCTGCCTTCCTCTGCAGGGGAGAACAGGTCTCTACCCATCTCCATGTGTCATCCCCTCACATACCTGTATGTCGCCAACATATCCCCTCTGAGTCTCCTCTTCTCCAGGCTGAAGAGACCCAGTTCCCTCAGTCTCGCCTCATATGGCATCCCCTGCAAACCGGTCACCAACCTTGTGGCCCTACGCTGCACTGACTCCAACCTGGCTATATCCGTTCTGTAATGAGGGGCTGAAAATTATGTCGGTAGTTTGGATGTTCTGAACCTGGTTCTTGGACTTTTAAGTCCTGGGGACCGTTAGAAGGCACCTCCCCTGAAAGACTCTTCAAAATTGTATTTGGCTTTTGGGCTGAAAGCAGTTTTCCACCTCTGGTATATATGTAGATGCATCAGTTTATTTCTTTTTTAATCACCTGATGGCTTCAGATAGACATGTAGACCAATCTCATTGGATATTACTGTGTTTGAAATGACTTGCTTCTGTTGATTCCTCATGAGAAACATGATAACTTTATTTTACCCTTTTTGCATAATGATACAATTCCTATGTGGTGATTTCTATTAATTTAGTGCACTGTGATATTTGATGCATATTAACTCCTACCTTTCTGGTATGAAATCTTCCCTTCTGGGCATGGATCACAATCATAGCAACAAAATTTCTCCCCCTCCTTCTTTTTCTTCTGATACCCCACATGGCAGGAATTACTACACAGAGAAAAAGGAAGGACCTACCCATAAAGGTGAAAAGAATGTAGGACAGGGAAAATCAGACATGGTTATTGTTCAACAAGTGATCCACAAAGAAGCAAGTGCTCCATTTACATGAAGGAACATGTATGGCGCACCCGATAATCTACAGGTTCTTTCCTCAAACTGGAGGACAATAGATTGTTGGGTGAAGCAAATGTGAGGCTCATATTTCATATCATAAAACAGTAGTGGGGAACATCTGGAGGTCAAGGGATAAATTTTTACTCTGTACATGCTGACATAAAGCAAACCATCAATGGTTTCCCCAGCAAAATCTGGATTCATGACGCAACAGAAGCTGAAAACAGCCAGATGTAACTTTGTGGAAAGGCACATTGTACTGACGAAAGTAATGGGAAAATCAAATTTGCTTTGACATCACTGCTTTCACTCCAACAGATGTCGAAACTGCAGTGACAGTGGAGGGGAAATAGTAGGGTTTGCAATGAAGGCAGGGTTGGGGGGCTCCTTGTGGCCTAAAGTTTGGCTGACGCTTGCCAGAGATGCACAGCTAAACAGTTGCTGGCTTATTGTGCAGATCTGAACCACCCCCATCATCTGGTTTTCTCCTAATCCCACAACAGTTTAATTGAGGTCTCTTTAATATTCTACATGAATCCCTTATACAGAAATAATTGAACTGAATTCACTCGCAAAAAATGGAGGAATTGATCTCAGTGTCCCTTCCTAGATTGGGATTATGATACATTGCACTGACTGAAGTTAGTTAATTAATTGAATAAGAAAGCTTGATATTAGATTAGTTACTCAGCCATAGAGTCACTACTTAGAATCCATACCTGATTGAAACGTCTCTGCCAAGAAACCTTATCTTCATTGAGGACAAATTCGTCTCCTTCACTGGGATCCATTCTTCCCACTTTCACTTTAAGGAAGGAGTTGTTTGGGAATATGACCATCTTCATGATATCAAATCCAGCAACAATTTCCATTTTATCATTAAAATGTACATTTTCTCCAGCAGAATTATTAAATGAAATGCCTTGAAGAAACTGGTGGAGCTAGTAGGAAAAGGAAGGTTGGGGGGGCAGAATAAAAGCCTAACTCACAACAAATAATGGAGACCTCACACCACAAACATGTTTCCCTGTGCTGCTACACCTTTATGCAGTTTTATCTAATAAATACCCAGCCCAAAAATGGAAGCATTATTGCAGTCACAAAATACTGAAAACGTGCAACTTATCCAGTCTCTTTTCTCAGCATTCCAAGGGCAAATTAAAACATGGTGTTAAGTGAGCATGATTACATATGATGAACCTGGGTACCTCAAAGACTGTCAAAAAGAGGAAGGTCAAGATCCCTTCTTGCTGATGCCAGAGTGTAGGACACGGAATAATTTAAGTTGCGACAACCCAGATTCAGGCTGGACATCAAGAAAAGCTTCCTCACTGACAGAGCAATACGACAGTGGAACCAGCTGCCTAGCAGGGTGGTGGGCTCTCCCATGCTAGAAACATTCAAAAAGAAACTGGACAGCCATCTGAGTGGGATGGTGTAACATGGTGTCCTGCAACAACAGGAAGTTGGACCTGATGGCCTTCATGGCCCCTTCCAACTCTACTATTCTATGATCCTATGGGTTTGTGTTCATTTTCTAGGTAGAAGCCATGTGGCTATACCTTTTCAGCCCTGTGGATCTGCTGAAGTCTTGTCCTGCCTTAGTTGTGGTGAGGACTTTATGACAGTGGACATTATTGTAGCTTGGGTTGCAGGGTTCTAATATAGGTCAGATGAGGAACATGTGACTCCACAGGTCAGGTTTGACATTGAAGGTGGATGGAAATAGGCCAGTAGTAAAGAAAGTTCCCACTAGTACTGGAAAGCACAGAAACTGTCTGTCTGTTCCTTTAAACATGAGCAGAGCAGGAATGAACCTTCTACAGAAGTTTGCCTTTCTTTAGGCTGGTTGCTTCTGCTGGAGGAATTGTCTCCTAAGGAGGACTGGTCTGTCTTCTCAACCTCAAGCTGTGACAACCTGGGGATGATTGCAGCATGTTAAATGTTACTCTGGCTGGAGTCTCATTGTCTGTGGACAATCACACAAGCTCCTCTGGATGCAAGGCAGAAAACCTCTTCAATATTTCAGGAAGTGGACCCTGCGGAGGTGGCGCACTTCTGATAGCTTCCCATGACTGAATCCTCTTTCTGAATGATTAACTCTGAAGTCCCTTCATCAAAGGACAAGTTTTGGAGGTACTCTGAAGAAAAGAGTTCAGGGCCATGCATGTGAAGGTGTGGGGGTGGGGGGGCAGATCAAGACCATGGGAGAAGATGAACCCTCTTTTTCTTCTCCTTCAAAGTTGGCATTGGAAAGAATCAACAATTACTGCCCCTGGAATTTAATAGCAAAACCAGCAGGACAATTTTCTATACAATCCTACATCCGTTTTACAATTCAAGAGTAGCGTCTGATGAAGCACCACTGACAGTATGAATGACACATCTAACAACTTCATCATGTAAGGTTTGCCTACAGGTGCCTCCTTCATGGGAGATTCAGGAGAAGCCAACAAGGAAAAGGGATGTCTTAGTGGTGACCCCCAGTTCATGAATGACCTTCCCAATAAGTCCCACTTGGAGTCAACATGGTTATCTTTCAAAACCAGATTGAAACTTTCTTCTTATCTCAGGCATTTGCTTTTAGTCAGGCCCTAAAATTTCAACCTAAAAAATTTCAACCTAAATTGTTCTTGTTCATTTTTAAAATTTGTAGAATTATGTGTCTCTTATGTGGTGTCTCTTTATATGTTTGCATGCAAAGTTTTATATTATATATTTAAGGTCTGTATCTTTGTAAACCAGTCAGAGAGCTTTGCTGTTAGGTGGTATAGAATTTTAATAAATTAATGAAAATGAATGGATGATCATAGCAAAATGCACAACTTTGTCACCCTTATGCAACAAAACTGACATCTGCATGAGTGTTACTTAGAAAGAAAACATCAGTACACGATGCATGTAACCTGCATTGCACCTTTCTACTTTGATGGTTGTACGGTTTTGCCATGTACAAATGTGTTCATGATAAAACAGCTCCTTTGCTCTGTGGACATTACCTGCCAAGGATGAAGGTCTTGCAGCTGAAGATGTTTGCTACTCAACATTGCTCTGCGATTAGGTCCAGATGCATACATGGCATGCAAAGCGTGTGCCACAGCATAGACAGCATTAAATATACTGTAACTTTGCCCAGTCATGCGCATTTCAAAAACTGACCCAGGAAGGTCCTTCAGCTTCTCCTCTCCAGTACATGCTTTATCAACTTTGGCTGGCATCTTAGGATTTGGAAATGAACAGTGGAAGGCTTGCTCCCAGAAGTCCTTGAGAAAACCATATCCTTGTGCCCAGGAAAATTTTATGTTCTGAAGAAATGCCTGGAACCCAAGAGGCTCATTTGAGTGAACTTCAAAGGAAATGGTGCCTTGGAATATTTTGGAATCCCAACTTGTTATAAGTCCCATTACTGTAAAATCAATCTGGGCTGTTGTTATCCACAACTTTCCAACAGAGATGTTTTCCTGATCATCTGAACCAGCTAGAATCATCAACATATTCAACCAAATAATGGTGAGAGTTTCACCATAGACAACAAAGGTTCTGACTTTCTTATCCATGAATGGTAGATAAATATTTGAGGACATACTGCTCATTTCATTAATGGTAAGCAAACGACCTTGGCTTGGGATTCTCTGTATGAATGCCGAACAGATTCCCTTCCGGGAAAGTAGCGGTTCCAGGGCATGCAAGAAATGGTCCCCACTGTCATCATCCATGACAAGCAGGCCAATCCAGGTCCATCCAAAATGCTGGAGCAACCAGGTAATTCCCATATACTGGTGGGATTCATTTGGAACCATTCGATAAAAAGAAGGGAATGGCGTTCTATCGCTTTCTTCTGGGGCAAAAGATCCATATGTGAGCTAAAAGGAAATGTACACATCTTTTTGGACACATGCTAAGAAGAGTACATATATTTTAGAGAGCAGTTAAAAGGAGATATATTTAAAAAGAGAAAGAAACCCAATGAACAAGTATTCAACCAAGGAATATTTGGTGATTTGACTATTCACCATTAAGAAATAGTCAATGGCTTTTAAGTCTAATGTGGTTTCTGAAAAAAAGCAATTTGTTATTTACAATGTTGGACATTTCTGGCTGCAGCCTCTGCTTTATTATTCTCAACTTGTCTAACTCTTTAATTTAAAAACTTTGAACAAAACTTTGCTAGTCTGTCTGTTTTAAGGGAGCAACTTTTAGTGGCTGGAGAATCCCAAGGCAAAGTATAGGATTTAAGAACCAGTATCAAGCCAGTTCAGTCAAAACAGAGACTATGAATAAGATTGGTAGACCCTGACATAAAAATAGTAAAAATGGCAGCAAAAGGAACTGGATCTTCAGATGTTTCCTGAAGACCTGAAGACAGAGGACTTCATGAACCTTGAAGTTCCTTTCAGAAGGGCATGGACATCACTGAAATGAAAATTCCCTCAGACTTCTACTTGCCCACTTTCCCCATCTTTCCTGTCAGAGAAGAGAGAGAGATCTCCACAGAAGACCTCAGGTTGTGGACAGGTAGTCACAAGTCCTTCAAAGATTGTGGACCCAAACAGTTTAAGGTTTTAAAGGGTAGGCAAGTACTTCCGTTGAGATTGGGAACACCCTGGTAAGCAATGCTTCATTTTTAGTGCTACGTGCATCAGTTTACCATCCCCCACCAACCTCAGCAGCCATATACAGCATCAGGTTAGGTATTTTGCCCATCTTTGAAGGCACTCCCATAGGGACTGGACTATAATTGTCCATTTTTGCCAATCAGTCACCTCCTTCCATCTCTCTGAACCATAACATTTCAGAATAAGAAGAATCAATTATGTGAATTATTTCTGAATATCTCCACACCCTCATGCAGTGATCTTACCTGTGGAATCTTGTAGAGGCTTAATATATCTGACATATGGAAAGATATGTCAGATCCGAGCCCCCCAATGATGGCAAGGGGGGCTTTTTGAGTGCCACATACATAATTTGGGGCAAATCTAAGAGATTTAAAGAGTAGCTCCAGAGTGGTACGATAGGTCATCCTCTCATTTAGGTAGCTGTCATGCATATGGAACCCAAGTGTGATATTAGGTAAGATCTTAGGATCCGCATTAATGCTGTTTATAGTAAAATCCAATGCCAGGACATGCTGGTAGAACTTTGTTACCATACTGGAAACAAAATTATATGATATTTTACAAGCGGATCATACATGAATGTCACTGTTTCCTTACATCTCTAAAGTAATCAGACTTTAGGTATTTATTAGTTTAAATTATTGTTAGGAAGGATGTGCGAACATGGTAAAATCTATCTGTTTACAAGTGTGGGATTGCCAGGCAACTGTCATTTCATTATCTGTTCATTGATGGAATCAGATTTTGTGCAAATGCATTAATGTGAAAATTTACATGTTCTTGAAAATGTGTCAATTCTCATAAAATTTGTATTTTCACATTTTAGCCTATAGGGGAAAGTAAAGTCTTATTTGAGTTTTCATTTTTTCTATAACTAAATTTGTATGAAATTAGCAAACAAACAAAATTCTACACAACTTGTGTTAACCCAAGAAGTCCATGGTGGAACTGATAGGTCATTTTTTTTTAGAAATTCAAGTCTATCGCAGACTTCTTTGAATTCTTTTAATTGTTAGAGACCCTTTAAGGGTAAATAAACCAACTTCTTTTTGAAACTCTGATCAGCTTCCATCCTTATTTGAAGGATTAAAAAAGAAAAACAGCACATCCCCTTTGTTGTAGAAAGAAGCTGCATAGTTGGTTTGGAACTGAGAGGAAAGGACATGGAGAGAAGACAGGACAACTGCAATGAGACACCACTTGGTTATCAAAGAAGAAAATATAAATATAGCACAAGTATGGTCCAGAGAATGGTCGGAAGGCATAGAAGGCATCAACCATATTGAAGTTAAGCAGATCTGAAGCTGGCCTGAGCTTGGATGGTAGACCACCACATGAAGCCACCTTGAGTTCCACAAGGGGAGAAAGGTGGGATATGTATTTATAATACATAAGTGAAATGCTGTGCAACAAAAAAAAGTTGTTTTGTTGCTTTCCTCTAACCTGGTATTATTTAACATGGCAGCAGTTCTCCAAGTTTTCAGGTGAATGCATTTTCCAGCCCTGTTGCAACAAAGCCCAGAACATTGTCATAAAAAAGCTGTGTGCTTTAACAGGAAGCAGTGGCTACAGTATGTATCTCCCAAATGAAGTATATGTTGAGTGTTGACATAATTTGTCCTAATATTAGTCAGCAGATTGCAAATAGCCAGTGATCATCACAGCTTTTATCATACCAAGCTTTATTTCCAAATGATAAATGTGTAAATATTAGCACTCTGTCCCTTTTCTAGCAATGAAGGCCATTGGGACATGCTTCCTCCATTTCTTCTATTAAAATGAAATCTGGTCATGACACCAGTTGTCCTATGTGTATTTCCCTTCCCAGTTAAGCATTTTGATGGCCAATTTTACCTGGTTGTGGTGCCTCAAAGCAGAAGGGAAGGGGCTGTGACACCACCAGGGTAGATCTGTTTTGGTAGTGCCGATCTCCTCCCCTCCCAGTCCCCAGAACACTCCCAAAAGTCCTTCTTTAAGCTCACTTCTGTGAGACTGACAATGGAAGCAGCACAGACCTTTCCATGCTGGCTGCAAGGGAGAGGAATCCAAACTCAAGCCTGGATCAGCTAAGACTCTGGAGCAAATTCTAACTTGGGATCTGGGAAATCCTATGCTCATCTACACACTATCTGAGGACCACAGGCTCATTCTTTCCATATATCATTCATCACCCCTTTAGCACTTTTTTCTTTAAAATAAATTTCATTGTAGTTTTCCTGTTTCTCATTTTTCAAATAAGATACTCCCCACTGGTTTCTGTTTTTAGCAGTGTCCCCTATGCCAACAAATTTCTTAATTGTCTGCAGAGAATAATTTTAAGGTGTTGCCTCTGTGTTTTGGTGGAGGTGACCTTCTTTTCTCAGATTCTTTGTAAGGAAAAAAAAAATCAGACCATCGAAACTAATCTCGATCTATTTTTTTTAAAATATTGACCTACAGCTATATGCAAATTGTTTCAAATAAAATAAAACATTGAGTACCATAATTTCCATAATGGAATTCTGCCTCAATATGGGAGGAGAATATCCTACATGCTGGGGAAAAATCCAATTATATTAGATTCCCATAACATCAGTAACAGAGAAGACAGTGTGTTGTGAACATAACCCATGCAATCGCCCATCCCTGTGTTTGCAGCTTTCTAAATTCATGCAATGGAAGGACAGCTAAGAGGAGAATTTCCTTACACAGGATGGCTGAAACCCAGTTCCTGAGAAGGGTGTTCCTTGAAGTTCACAGTGGGGAAAAAGTACAGAATCTGAGAAGCAATCCCACCAACAAGGAGACCCCCAGGCTGGAACCGCTCATGAGGAATAGGGAGGGGGTCCATTTTGGGACAGTCCTTCGTGTCCACTTCACTCACAATGTGATGAAAGAGAAGCAGGAACATTCTGATTCCCAGCAATTTGGATGTGATGTTTTTCTCTCGAACCATTTCTTTTGCATCCAGCTACAAGTCGATCATGGTGTTGGCCCAGGTAAGAAAGGAGCAGAGTCTGCCAATATAATTCATAAAGAGAATGATCTTCACCCTGAAAAAGGTGAGAAACATGCAACTCTAATGCCAAACATGGTGTAGTGTTTGAAAGCAAGAACTAGATGGTGAAAAAAAAGGGGGGGGGATATCAACACACAAACAGAATTTGTCCTGGCTGATTTTGCCCCCCAATCCCATCAGAACACCAGACATGCAGGTATATCCACTTTTAGTCTTCCACATTGACTCATTTTCCAGTCATCTCTTGAAAGAAACTGGAGATTTGTTGACAAGTAATTCATATGGCTTTGATAATTGCAAGTGAGATAATTACCTTTGCATATTCAGGTGTCTGAGTGGCACCAAGGGTTTATTTTTTCTACATAATTTTCATGGACACTCTGGGGAATGCAGCCAAGCTGAGAAGCTGCACAAAAATTTTCAACAATAGAAATGGCTCTCAGGCCACACACACACACACACGATCAAGAAAAAACTCCCAGCAAACCTCTGAGATGAAGTACATATAATAAGGCCAAATCTCATCCCTGTGACAGAATGATTTCTTTAGCATGAAAGCCAACTTTTCCCCTTTCATCTTCAGGGAACATTTCAGTCTCTGCCCTGCCATATCATTTATGGCTCAACATTTTGAGCCAGTTTCAACCCATGCTTCTTTTTAACCCTGCTTCTTGCACAACTTCTGAAGTCTGATCTGGTAAGATCTGACAATTCCACTGTTTAATTTAACCTCATCAGGCCCCTACTTCACATACTAAATTCAAAGAGAGGAAAAAAGATGCACACATCCATTTCCAAATTTCCAAAATGGGAGAAGTATGCATTTGCATACTTCTGGGTGATGAATATAAAACATCTCTTATATCACCTTGAACAAATGTGAAGATCGGTATTATATTATGTTACATTTCTATACCACCCATAATGAAAGCTCTCTGGGTGGTTCACAACATTTAAGTCACCCATCCAGATTTCAGCCCTGCTCAGCTCTGCTTAGCTTCCAGGATTGGGCAGAATCAGGAACTTCAGGCTAAACAGAAGCTATGGCACAGTATGATGAGGTTATGGTATGAAGTTATATTTAATCCTGGCCAGTAGTAGGCAGTAGCTTAATTAGAGAAGAATTCTCAACACTTCTTCAGTCTTCTTGTTCCTCACAAGGGGGCAAAATAGTGCCAAGATCAAAAATATCACTACCAATGAGAGAAATATGGCTAACCAAATGTGTAGCTTCATGGATCCGGCTGTGCAGCTGATATGATTTCTTGAGCCATCTGGTTGAAAACATAACCATTACTCATCATCGGAAGTTCTTAAATCCTCAAAGGACCTCCCCACAGGTTGTCTCCCAAGAAGACCAAAGTAAATGTGACATTGCTCATGTGGTTTTGCCTACAGTTACTTTGGAACATAAGATAGAGTGCTGATTATTATATTTTTCTGATTCTAGTTGCAGTCATCCAATATTTCCTTAAGTAAATCAATAAGACCTATTTTGTACTTCATTTAGGCAAAATCCTATTGATCCCACCCCACCCTGATCTCATAGGCTTCTGTTCAACCAGTGGCCAGAGGGAGATGCAGAATGGGAGATGGCACCACCAAGCCTGAGAATTTTTCTCAAAGCCATTTTTGATGGCCCACATAGAGCACCTGCAATGGGGAGGGAAGGTGGCTCAGGTGCAGGTAGGAATTAGCATGGTGCACCAGCCCAATTCCTTTTTGTCCCTCTAGCATTATATGGCATCTGGACCATATAATGCCTGGTTGCCATTCAATTACACCTTGTACATTTATATAACACTCTCCTTTTCCAGGGGACCATCACCTCTTCCATAATCACTGTTTGTCACATGACCGGAGACAAGATACTTGTGAAGTCATTTACACAGTACAGGATCATTTACATCCACTCCAAGATTTTGACCCAGAGTCAGAAGACAGATGATTTTAAAACTTCAGTTGTCCTTAGTGGACATCCTAATATCCATCCTTATCCACTCTTTCTTTCATTGTTGAAATGCTGCATTTTGTTTTAATGTTTTAGAATAGTCATCACCATTCTTGATGCATCCAATTGTCTGCCAGCAACTGAACCATGCTCACTGGGCATACATCAAGACATTCTGGCAACCAGGGTTCTGTGTTACACTTTTATATATAGCTGTATGCAAATACAAGGGCAGCTTCCGCTTTAAATCAGGTGCGTTCTCTCTCCTTCCCCAACTTCACCCTGTCTGCACAACGACTCGCCAATCAATCACCCTAAAAGAAGCAGAGAGAAAGATGATGCTTTGGTTTTTATTTATTTTCTTCTTAGCGCACTTCGGAGGTATTTTTCTACATTCAAAATGAAGACAGGTGCATTCTCTATATTAATATGAAGCTGATCGCTTTAATATTTCTTCCTTTCTAGGTGCCCTATCAAAGATCCAGCTGGTGGAGTCTGGAGGAGATGTAAGAAGGCCTGGAGATTCTCTCAGAATTTCCTGCCAAGCCTCCGGGTTCACTTTTGGAGATCACTGGATGAGCTGGGTGCGACAGGCTCCCGGGAAGGGACTGGAATGGATTGCAACTATTTCATACTGGGCTGGTAGTACTATACATTATGCAGACCCAGTGAAAGGGCGCTTCAGCATCTCCAGGGACAACCCCTCGAACACACTGTTTCTGCAGATGAACAACTTGAAATCAGAGGACTCGGCTGTGTATTACTGTGCCAGAGGCACAGCGAGAGGAAGTGAATCTAAAGTTTGGCAAAACTCCCTCCTTTGCTGATACTGCTTTTCCAATTTCGTTTAGCTGCAATACATAGTTCATTTGTTTATTTATTATCACCCAATAGCTGAAGCTATCTGGACAATGAACGACAGTTAATAAAAACAATAAAATACAATATAAAATAGCACAACAGTAATAACATTGTAAAATGATGTTTAAAAAAACACAAATCATATTGTAACAACTGGAGAGTCCAAACCAGTACAATCTCTTCTCTGAATATTTTAATTGATTTGAGAACCGCTACATATGCTGATACTTTTTTGACCTGCTTACTTGATATAATTATAAAGTTTAGTGTTAAAATTAATGTGATTTTATTATAATTGGTTTCAGCATTGTTGTTTTTAGCATTTCTTAATATAGATCTTATTGCAAGCTTCCTAGAGAATCCATTGTGATGAGTGGGCAGCATTTTTATTTGTTTAACTTATATTGCACTATACTAGCCCGAAGACTCTCTAAACAGATAGAATTTTTAAATAAATATATAAATAAGCAAGCAACCTCCATATTTCAGGGGCTACAACACAGAGGGCCCTCTTGCCACTTGCTCAGCCGCTAATGAAGTCCTCCAATGTCATATGCAGTGTCTGGTAGGGACATGAAGAGGGATATGAAAGCCAGACTCCAGCTCCATTACCTTCTCCACATTTCTTTCCCATGATTGGCCCTTGCCAGGTTGAGCCAAGATCAAGTCTGCAAACACTCGAGAACATTGGTGGACCCCTTCTTTGTGCAAAGCACACAATGGACACAACTTCTGCAGGCAGAAATCTGTTGCACAGCAGGTACACAAGCAGTAGGCAGCCTGTGTGCAAGCTGGGCTTGTGGTCTCCTTGGCCTTGATTCCATAAGCCCTCAAAATGAGGTGGACTTAGGGCAGAAAAGAAACAAGCATGAATCCAGAGAGTCAAGTTGAGAAAATTGGTCTATTCCCACCCACAAACCAGATTCTTTCCACATTTGTTTGTTTATTTTCTATAGCACCCACTCTTGAATTGCTTGTCTCACTAGTGGATGGGTACATTGTGGTTGGAAGAGTCCTTGTGATTCAAAACCCTGTGGGGCCATATAGGTTAAAACCAGTTCCTTGAGTTGGGCTCGGAAACATGGAGGCCACCAATCACACAGGCCAGAACAATTTTTGTATGCTTAGATTGCCTGTTCTTGGTCATTAATCTGGCTGCCACATCCTACAGAAACTGCATCTTCCAAGGAATATTCAGGGCAGCCCCACTTAGAGAGTGATCTGGTCCAGGAGATAACCAGATTAGGGAAACTAGGTTATTCCTGACCAGGGCTGTGAAAAGCAGGATATTTGTAGGGCATTCATTCATATGGGCATTGTAAGTCACAGATGCTGTGTCAGCACACAACTGCAGTGTGAGACATGGAAGAGTCAACAGCAAATGGCAGCAACAAGATTTGCAGTGTTAGACACAGAAAGAATCATTTATGGGCATGTAAATATCACTATACATGTATGAGTCAGTCCTAATATAGTATTTTTTTGGAGGGGTGAGAATTTTGATATTGTTGTGTATGTTTAAGGAGCTATTTTGTGAACGCAAATGCTAGGTCATGGATTTGCAAACTTATGCTGGGAATTTGTGCTTCCATTTGTGCTCACATTTGGGATTATGAATGACACATTTTCCAATTATTCATCAACTGAAACAAAATATTTGTGCATGCTTAACATGTTGTATAAGATCTAAGAACATGAAACCAATGGCCTCAGCACAGCTCTCTTTTCAGTTAAGCCTTGATTTCAAAGGAATTCAAGAACAGAGAGAAAAAATGGCATCAGGAAACAGATGCCTTAGATAAAGCATGTTCTGGAATTAAATAATTGTGACAGGTCCAGAGGAAGCAAATCTCTTTGATTTCTTATTCCTTTTCATGTGCTGCCAACATTGGGTAAGTTATGTAACAGTGGCAGAGTATGATGGTAACATTGTGGGAATGGCTTTCTGTCAGCCGTAAGCAGAGGAGGCCATTGGTTTCTATTGGGTAAACTGAAAAGATTTATTGTAAGAACTATATGGCTGTGCATCTACTGGTTCTTTGGATCAGAATCCGTACTGAGTTTTGTAGGTAAGAAAAGATATATCCAATGAGCTAGCATGCCCTACCTGAAGGATTATTCTGAAGAAGAGGAGGAAGAGAATATACAGAACTGGAAGAACCAATTGGAGCTAGAGGCTTTGGCTGATGGCCTTTTTCTAGAAGAGCATATTGCCTATCCAGAGCTATTCCTAACCAAGCATAGAAATCAGAGTTGGAGACCATTCACCCCTCAGAAAGGTGCGGCATCAAACACAAGCAGCAGAATTTTAACAAGAACACAGTACAAGGCTTCTCTTAACAGCAGCATGCTGACCTGGTTTAGGACCAACTACAAATTAGTCCAGCTAGAACCAGACAGCTTCTGAAAATAACTGTTCCTCTTTATTTTGCTTTGTTCCATCCAACCAAGTAGTCTGTTGAACTTTCCTCTACCCACTTGGACTACATTCTGACACCTCTGAGTCACCTGGGTGCTTGGAATGACAGACTGTGTGAGTTGAGCTCTGGACTAAATTGGTTTCTTGTTTGATCCTTCTTGAAACTCTCTCAGCTTTGACCAGCTGGCCTAGGAGCAGGAGGTAAACCTAAGTGCTGACACTGGTAAATCTAGCATGCCTTTTGTCTCCGTGTTGTTACATTGACAAATGTAGACAATGTTTGTTATATTAACATTCAAAGCATGTGCAAGGGAATAAGTGTTCCCACCACTTGTTCCTTCTTTCTTGAAAATTCCTTTCCCAGCCCCTATGCATGCATTACAAAAGTTAAAGCAGTGCTGGGAATTCTTAGCTGCCCTCATATTGATATCTAGTTCTAATATGAAATGCTGTTTCACAAGTGAGTGCAGGCCAAGCTACTTGAGAGCAAAAAAATATACCACAGCAGGTGAAATCAAGGATTTTGGCACTGGAAAACAGAGATAGGAGCTCCAGAAACAGTGTTCGGGAATGGCCTACAAGGACTGGAGCCCTGAATCTTTCATGCGATTCCCACTGCTGTCCTTGGACACTTGCTGAAATAAAAATATGGAGGCCTTGATGATCTTTGTGGGTTAGCTCCTTTCGGGCCATATTGTTCACCTCCTGCTTCTCCCCCATTCTCCTTCCAAAATCAAATTGCTTCCTTTCCACACCATTGCATGTGCCATAGTTTGCTCTTGTGGGCCTGAGGCCCACACCCAGTTCATCCTCAGCACTGCTCCTGGGGAGATCAGATGTCAGAAGTGTCAGAAGACTCCCTGTTGGCATATGTGTAACATTGGTGCAAGCTTTTCTGGCTCATAAAAGAGCAGGTTTATCTACAGAGATGTCACGCTGTGTTACTATGTCTTCGGGAAAGGAGCGCTAGTTACGATACTAGGTAAGAAGGATGTAAATAACTGGCAAGTTGTGAATAACTGGAAATCTCTGGAAGAAATAAGATGATTGTGGAGAAAGAGAAAGTAAAGAAGTAAGGAAGTAAGAAAAAGAAACATTGATATGTAAGTGCTATGTAAATAATGGCTGCATTGGTGGTTCTCATGTACCACTAATAGAAGAAGAGTCAGAAAAATGGAGAGGGATTCTGCTATTTAAGCAGAGGAGTTAACACTGGAATATTTAAAGAATATGGGGTTTAGAGTATGTTGGTGGGTTTGTTATATTGCATCATATTGTCCAAGATCCTGAAGGACTTTACTCAGAAATATAGATCTATCTGAGGATGAAACCTAAGATGGAAGTCTCCATGGAGAAAAGTAGCCCTTTGGGATTAAAGAGTACGGTTTTGTTTTGTGAGTGGTGCAGGATTTGGTTGTGGGAGATTTACTGGAGGCATCTACAAAAAGGAGCAGCATTTGCTAATGTGGTGGGATAAAAAACAAATAAATAAGGACAGGCTATCAGATTTGGACCACCCTTACTTGTTACCATAACTTCTGTATAGCCTGAAGTGCCTGATCCTGCCCAATCCTAGAAGCTAAGCAAGTTTGAGCCTGGCTGAAATTTGAATGGGTGACTTAAATGTTGTGAACCAGCCAGAGAACTCTCACTATGGGTGGTATAGAGATGCACTATAATATAATATGGATATTGACATCAGATCAAGGTGACAGAGATTTTTCATATTCAGCACCTGGAAGCATGAAAATGGTTGCATCTTCTTTTCCCACTTTGGAAAGGTGTAAATGGATGTATGCATCTTTGGGGTCCCCCAAGGCTCTATCTTGGGACCCATTCTGTTTAATCTTTTCATCAATGACATGGAAGAGGGGGTGAATTTGATCTGCTGATCAAATTCACAGGCAATACTAAAATGGGGTGGTGGCTGCAACTGAGGAGCAGGTGCTCCAGATCCAAAAAGATCTGACAGACTATGGAAGTGGGCCAAGGACAACAGGATAGCATTCAATATAGATAAGTGCAAGGTCTTGAACTTGGGGCATAGGAATGGGTGTCATAAGTACAGGTTAGGGGACAAGTGGCTGGAGAACAGCACTTGTGAAAAGGATCTCAGGATGCTGGTCGACTGCAGGCTAAACATGAGCCAGAAATGTGACACAATGGCCAAGAGGGCAAACACCACCCTTGGATGCATAGCAGAAGCATGGCTTCTAGATCGAGATAGGTATTACTACAGCTATATATGACTCTGGTACACCACAACTGGAGTCTTGTGTTCAGTTCTGGGCCCCTCATTACAAGAGGGATATAGCAAGGTTGGAATCTGTGCAGCAAAGGGCCACAAGGACAGTGGCTGGTTTGCAGTGTTAGTCATATGAGGTGAGAGTGAGGGAATTGGGTTTTTCAGCCTGGAGAAGAGGAGACTCTGAGGGGACCTGTTAGCAACATACAGGTATGTGACAGGGTCTCACTCAGAGGTGGGTTGTGACCTTTTTTCCCCTGCAGAGGAGGGCAGGACACATTCCAATGAAGCAAAGCTCAGAGAACCAAGATTCCAGGTGGATGCCAGGAAGTACCTCCTGACAGTTAGGGCCCCTAGGACATGGAATGGGCTTCCACGGGAGGTGGTTGAGGCCCCATTGGTGAGGGTGTTCAAGAATAGGCTGAACATGCACATGGTAGGCATGTCATGAGCAGAGTCGGCTGGAGCCAGGGGTCAAACTAGATGACCCGGGAGGCCTCTTCTGACTCACTCTGTTTCTATGTTTCTATGTTACATGGATTAACTGGAAGTCCCACAACTGCAGCTTCCACTTACTTTATCCTCTCTGGAATACTGAAGCTAAAGAGGGCCAGGGTGGTACCCCTTCAGTTTCCAGATTTGGCTTCATCATCTCCAGTTGTTTCTCCCTGTTTTCCTTCTGTATGATGGGACTCAGATTGCCCAAACCTCTTTTCTTGAAATGCATTTGACTGTAGAAAATACATGGTGATGTTACAATTCTGTAGTTTGCTGCCCATGATCAGAGAGAAAGAGGTTTTCATATTGCCTTGTACCTCTGTGATATTACTTATCTGATCCTTGGATCTTTGGAATTGGAACCAGAGTTATCGTCTTAGGTAGGATGTTTTCTAACTGTTTAAGGGGGGTCATTTGCATGCTCCTTCTGAAGTTCCTTTTGATGAGGAAGTGACAAAGTTAAGATTTTAAATTTATAGTCATAGAGTATATCATTGTCACTGTCTACTGAAAAGCAATGTCTGAGCAATGTGCAAACCAACAAAAGTGATTTACAATGTGCAAATCAACAAGCAGCTCACCCAAGTTCTCCAAAGTCCATTTTGAAGTTGATTCTGATTCCAATCTATATCAGAGCGCTAGCTCTGCTTTTTATTCTTTTGCTGTCTGTAAATATCTGTGCATAACTTTTCAGAATGTACTCATCCAATTCAGATTTTCACCACCCTTACTCATATGATCGATTGACCAGACGTTCCTCAGCTACAGCCAATACTTAGTTTATTCCCAGTCTTTTCTCCAGAACACCACAGTTGGAAAGGAGCAGATTCATCCTGGGGACATCAAATTTTTTCAGCCTCTATGTGATAGACCTCCAATAGCACAAACCTCTTCAAATAAAATCGATCTTGAGTACAAAAGGAATGCCGTGTGAATGCAACAGTACATAGCAAAGTTACGTGTTTGTAATTTGCTGCTCAAGGTTAGAAGAAAAAGGGTTTTCATATTGCCTTGTACCTCTGTGTTATGATTGGATCTTCGGAACTGGAACTAGAGTTATTGTCTTAGGTAAGATCTTTCCTAAAATTGTATGCGTGTGTGTGATGGGGAGGTGTCATTTTTATACTTCTTTTGAAATGCCTTTGATAAGGAAAGAGCAAAGTGTAAGATTTTGAATATATAGTAATATAAAGGTTCTCATTTTACGTCCCACGGATTTCTGAATAACTTGGTGCAAATCTGCAAAACCTCAGCTCACCAAATTCATCTAAATCTATCCTGAACTTTATTTTTACTCCAATCTGTATCAGAGCACAAACTTTTTTCTTTGGATGAACAATAATCAGAGCGTAGCTTTTCAGAACATACTTATCAGCTGTACATTTTTCTGCAACCCACCCTGCGAGCTTGGAAATATATGGATTGCAAGAACAGACTGCAGTTGCATTTGTTCTCAGTCCAGAAGGTGAGAACTAGGGAAAGCATGATCAAAAATTTCACTGGAAGATTTTGGTTTTTTCATGCATGGGATTAACGAATAAAGATGGCAATAGAACATAGAGATTTATTTTCCAGATCTTGGTAGATAGGGAGGGCCAGTGGGTCAGATTTATGCCACCTATTTATGGGATTGCAAAGGTGGAAAAGGCAAATATCCAGATTTGGCCTCAAGATCTCCAATTGCTCCCCTCTGTTCTACCTTTGTATAACAGGATTCAAATTGGCCAAACGCCTTCAGTTAAAATCTGTGTTGATTGCAAAAGGAACACAGTCTGAAATTACCTGCTGTAGGTACAAGTCTGGAATTTGCCAGCCAGGATTAAAAGGAAAGGGGTTTTCATATTGCCTTGTACCTCTGTGATAATTATGGCCTTACAGATTTTGGAAGTGGGACCAGAGTTATTGTCACAGGTAAGATCTTCTCTAGCTGTTGTGGGGAGTTCATTTACATGCTTCTTCTAAGATACCTTTGCTTAATAAGGGACAGTGCGGAAAACTGAATGTTGAATAATACGCTTAGCATGGTCTCACGCTAAGTTCCACAGACATCTAACTAATCATACCCGAGCGATGGGAAATTGCTCACCCAAGTTCTCCAAATTCCACTCTAAAGCTCATTCTGACTCTAATTAGTATCAGACTGCTCACTTTGCTTTTTAATTTTTCATGAAAAATATCTGTGCATAACTTTTCAGAGCATCCTCATCAGCTGTGCATCTGTGGAAAGTATGCATTCTGCTTCCATGTACTCAAGTGCATCTGTGCATATTGTTTAAAATTATGCATTTCTCCATCTGCATTTTGCAAATGTCCACATGATCTTGAATTTATTTATTTTATTTTTTGGTCCCCAACTCATACCACAAACTTGGAAATGTATAGACAGCAACAGCAAACAGTTTTTGGCTCTCTGTTCAGTCCAGAAGGTGAGAACTGGGAAGAACATAGTTCAAAACTGAACTGGAAGGATTTTTTCATACATGGAATTAAGGTTTAAAGCTGGTGAGAGGTGTTAAAGAATGAACACTTGTGTTGCATGTACTCACAATGAACTTTTTTGTCCGTGCTTAATCTTTAAATACCTGCAAATCATGTTTGATCTGAAGAAAGTGTGGAAAAAAGGAGAGGCACTTATGTATGGCTGCTGTAAAGGCTATGATTAGCTACTAGGTATTAGTATTGTTTCCAACTCCATTAAAAACATAGCTATCATCGCTATCATGTAATCCATTAAAAACATAGCTATCATGTATTTATGTATTTATTTAAAACTTTTGTATACTGTGCCATCACAAATGTCTTGGGACAGTTCACAACAACAATAAAATAGAATAAAGATAAAAGTAGCACAGCATGCAGTGTTAGGTGTAAAACCACAGATTAAAACAAATTAGCAATTAATATAGTGGGAGAATAAAAGGGTTTTTGCCTGGTGCCAAGAGAAAAGAAGTGTTGGTGCCAGGTGAATCTCTCTGGAACCATTATGCTGTGGTCAAAAGCAGAAAGAAAGAAAGAAAGAAAGAAAGAAAGAAAGAAAGAAAGAAAGAAAGAAAGAAAGACGGACGGACTTGTATTTGTCCACCTTGATATCAAGGAGGAGAACATTTATAAAGCACAAAACAAATTTGAAGATGATCATGACAGAAGTCATCTTTGTGTTAGAGGGAATATTCCAAGGAATGGGTTTATTTCTTCAAGAATTCTGAGGGATTTATCCATCTCTAGGCCTTGGAATAAGAACATAAGAAACTAAGAAAAGCCATGCTGGATCAGGTCCATCTAGTCCAGCACTCCATACCCAGGGTGGCAACCAACTGCTCACAGGATTCTTCAGGCAGGATGGGTGCAAGAGCCCATCAATAACTGGTATTCCAACATTCCACCTCTAGTGGAGGAGATAGCACATAGTCAGTGTGGCTAGTAGGGTCAGATAGTCCCTAATTCCATGCATGTGTCCAATCCCTTTTTCAAGCCATCTTGATCAGTGGCCATCACTATTTCATGTGGCAATGAATTCCATAATTTAACATTAACGGTGTGAAGAAATACTTTCTCTAGTCTGCCCAAAACCTTCCCCCAATCAACCTCATAGGATGACACAAGGTCGAGTGTTTGGAAGAGGGAGAAAAATAGCTCCCTCTCCATTTTCTCTACTACATGCATAATTTCAAATAACTCTTTCATATAAACATGGGAACAGAGCGAGTCAGAAGAGACCTCCTGGGCTATGTAGTCTGACCCCCAGTTTCAGCCAGCTCCACTCATGCCATGCCTACCATGTGCATGTCCAGCCTATTCTTGAACATCCTCACTGATGGGGTCTCAACCACCTCCCATGGAAGCCCATTCCATACCCTTGGGGTCCTAACCATCAGGAAGTACTTTCTGGCATCCACCTTGAACCTTGGTTCCCTGAGCTTAGCTCTGTTGGAGAGCATCCTGCCTTCATCTGCAGGGGAGAACAGGTCTCTATCCACCTCTGTGTGGCACCCCCTCATGTACCCATATGTCACCAACAGATCCCCTCAGAGTCTCCTCTTCTCCAGGCTGAAAAGACCCAGGTTCCTCAGTCTTGCCTCATACAGCTTCCCCTGCAATCCGGCCACCATCCTTGTGGCCCTATGCTGCACTGACTCTATATTCTTCCTGTAATGTGGAGCCCAGAACTGAACACAATACTCCTATCATGGGAGCATCATATATCCCTTTACTTACCTTTTTTCTAAGCTGAGCAGCTCATAAAGATGTTTCTCCAATCCCATGATCATTTTCATTGTCCTTCTCTGTATCTTTAATAATTCAATAATGTCCTTGTTCAGATGAGCTAATAATAACTGAATACAACACTTCGCACCAAGGAGTCATACAGGGAGAGTAATAACTTGGCAGTTTTATTATCTATTCCTAATTATGCCCAGCATGTAATTAGCATTTTTTACAGTGGCCACACACTGCAATTCACCTGGCACAACACTGTTCTCATCTCAGCATCAGGTCTTCTCTGAGTATTTTAATTAATTTGTGATCTGTTATTTATGAGGTTATTTTGTTGTCCTGCTTACTCAATATAATTATCAGTGCTTAGTGTTTAAAAATTGATTTTATTATACAATTTAAAATTGATTTTATTATCATTGGTTTTGCTGTTGGTGGTTTTGGCATTTGTAAGTACCAGTTTTATTGTAAGGCACCTAGAGAATTCCTTTGGACTAGTGGACGGCATATAAATTTAAAAATAAATATATAAGTAAACAGCATGAAATAGTAAGAACAAAGGATATGCTTTAAGAGAGCTGAAGACAAGCACTAACTCTGCAGGTGTGCATTCAACATATGCACCAGAGGAATACCAAGGAAACCTTAGCTTGTCATGAAGCCAGTTTGTCACAAATGTACCCATGAGAAATGGGAGCAGATCCTGGTTCCCTGAAGGGTCTGATTCCAAATATCCTGAGCATGCAGGACTCTCTTTCAAACCTGGGTAGGCTCCAATCAGGGTTCAGAGACAACTGTCTTTCCATCTGCCAGCTTTGTGGCACACCCCTGCCCCAGCCCAAGTGGCCACTTCGGCCAACTTGCCAGCAGAAGAGGAATTTGCTCTGTATTTGCCCAAGTCCAGCTGAAGGCTCAAGTGGCAGGGAGGGAGCTGCGTGTGTGTGAGGAAGTGTGAAACTCTTCTGATTTCAAAGGGGATTGTTGAGAGGGAGAGCAAGCCAGTGCTCCAGGATACTGCATGGAGTGGGTGGGCACTTGTTAGCAGCATTCACACATTACATTTTTAAAGGAACATATAAAAGACTTGTTGGTGAATACTTAGGGGGGAAAGGTGAGAAACAGCCCTTAGAAAAGCCTGAATTTCACCCTGATTTGTAGGGCTTATCATATAATTGGCTAAGCACAAGGGCAAACACGGACACACAGTGGAATATTATCCCAAAGTCTGTACCTCTGTGGGAAACTAACATAGGAAAAGTGGTTCAGGATCAGGCCTGCAGTCCCACCCTTTGCATGCTGATCAGCTGTTCTGACCGAAGCTCATGGGCTTGGCACAGAAAGGAACGGCCAACACATTGGAGCGTGGCCAAGCATGGAACCCTGCTCATGGCTTCCTGTGCTGATTCTTGGCAGAAGTCCCACCATCTGAGAAGGAGTTTGCCAAAACCAATTCATAGATGCACCATACTCAGTCAGGTGTCCACATTGTCACCCAACTGGTGCCACCCCAAGCCACACTCTTTATTCAGGCAGCAGGTCAACCCTGTGTATTATGCATTCCTTTCTCTTCCAGGTGGAACAATAGCTTTCAGTGACCCAATACTGGTAGCATTTCATCCATCCCGTTGGGAAGTTCAGGAAAAGAAGAAGGCCACGATTGTGTGCTTGGTCACCAAGTTCTATCCAAATGATATCAAATTGAAGTGGTATGTGAACGGCAAAGAAAGAACAGACGGGGTACAGACTGAGGACATGAAATATGATGATACAAACAAATACTCGTTTATCAGCCGTTTAAGAGTCCCCAGTGAAGAGTGGCTGAAACCAGCAACTACTTATGAGTGCAAAGCATGGTTCAAGGGAGAGAAGGGATCCTCATGGTTTCCAACGATGGTGCAAGTTAACGGTGAGTGGAAGTGAATTTCGCCAATAAAGTTTGTACCAGAGCACAGTGTAGTGTGTATCTTCACTCAGGATCTATATCTTGTGCCATGTTCACTTGATTCTCACACCAAGAAGTAGCCTGTGAGTATTGTACAAAGTGAGTCAATTCAGAGCCTTTATATCATTTTCCATAATTTATTTTATTCTGGCTAGTGATACACTGGAATCATGCTCATTTTGAAATGAACAGCTTCTCATACTGTTAAAAATATATTCAGGCACACTTTTTCCCAAAGTACACATTGAACCCTATGCATCTTTCACTTTTCTTCACACCTGCAAATCATGTTTCAAACTCAAAAATGTACTGACTTCAGATCTGACTGGGGTGCAGAAGGCAGCAACTGGGAATATAAAATAAATGGGATGCCCACAAAGCTGAGGTATTACTCACTCGGGAGAGCTTCCATGGGAGTTCTGCAGGACAGTGAGGATGTGTTGACATGCACAAAATGTCCCAGCCACCAAAATTCACATGTATTCATGCAAGTACATTCACCTATCTATACAAAAAGGCTTGTGCACAACATAGGTGTGCATAACCACACATATCTGTGATGAGGATGGAGAAGAGCTTTCCATTGGCCTCTTCAGCCCTGATTTAAGCACATGAGGGCTATATCTGTGGTGCATGGACTGAAGGGGAAGTCCTGAAGAGTAGACAGGAAAGGGTCCCTTTTCTTCACAGCGAAGACCCTCCTAAATTGTCCACCCACACAGGGAAGCCTAATTGCTGGGGGGGGGGCTTTGGGGGGGAAGGGAGGATGGGGGAATGTTGTCTAGAAGCCTCAAAAGCTAACCTGCAGTCTCTCCCTTCTGCTTTCAGTCACAGACAGCAATGATATTACCAATGGTAAGCCAAGGTCATCCTGCTCTTTTCCATTGTGCTGAGACAGAATGCTGAGAATACAGAGCTGGGGCATTTAATGCCCCCAGCTTTCTGGTAAATGTGGATGCGGTGAGGACTGTAGATTGTCCACTCACAAGATCTCAAGTGTGCTTACTGGAGAAGGTTTGAGTTCATTGGATCTGTGTATGAGTGCGAGCCTTGGGTGAGGTCCAGGAAGTTTTGGCCAACTGGACCATGATAGGCCTACAACTGGCCTATGACTGGATGGACCTAAGACTGGCCTGAGGAACTACGTTTATTCTGGGCGTTCAGTGCCAGATTTTGGCAGCCACACATACAAATATGAGATGGCTCAAAATTCCTCAGAAAGGAGGTCCAGCTCCTCCTGGCACTGACATTCTGTGGTTTCCAGCACCAGGTTATGACCTTTTTATTTACCCAGTAATTTAAAGTTTAAAATTTTAATTATGTTTTTATTGCAGCTGTGGGTTATTAGTATTATTATTATGTTTGGGTTATTATTATGATAATTTTATTAAATTGTATTTATTGATTGATTGTTGTAAGACATCCAGAGACATGTAGTGATTGGATGGGTTAAAAATACGCAAATAAATAAATAAATAAAACTATAGATCCCTCCTTCCAACATATAAGCACATTTCGTACTGTGTGCTCCCTCTCACACGCACACACACAGTGCCTTCACACATATCTACACATCACATGCATACTTAACCACTTACTAAAATGAGTGCAGCACACAATGTGTGCGTTCATATGCACAGCTATTCTGACCCGTAGAATTCGCACATCCATGTACGCGTGACCACCAGCCCCTATGCCAAGACCCAGGCTGTGCATCTTCCCATTTCATATGCCCACAGACACACAAATCCTGCACATGGATCCTCCAAAAGCCTTGTGTTTTAGAAGGTTGATTCAATTTTGTTTGCCAGACTAGATGACTAGATGGAATGGGGGGAGGTCATAGGGAGGGAAAGGGTTGTCCTTTTCCTCCATTGCTGAGACCTTCATTCTTCAATTGCTGCTTGAGAGTTGATGGGGGGAAGGAAAGATGGGGACTAGTTGTGGGGCAGCTCCTAAATTGCTTACATGAATTCTCCCCCATCTCATTTTAGACTGTGCTGACACCGAGGTCGAAAAAGGTAAGTCAAAACTCCCTGGCTTTTCTAGCTGTACTTCCCTGTGCCTCATTTCCAGGCCAAGAGCCCTTTGACCCCTCATACCAATGGAGTGGGTCCAGCTTGGGGAAGTGGGTGAACTGCCCCCTACCCTCTCCCTCTTATAGGCTTAAAGACCCCTATTGGCATGGCATGCACACACACTTTTTTATTAGGTTTGTGCTGAGTGGGGGAGGTGGATGGGAGGAAACGATGTGGGACCATCGCTGAGGCTCCTAAATAGCTAATCTTCAATCTCTCCCTTCTGCTTTCAGGTCCTCACCCCACAGACGTTCCACACAGTAAGTATCCTGCTCTTTCCAAGCATGGATTCCTTCAAATTAAACTCATGCCAGGTAACTCTTCTCCAGTTATCTTCAAAATAAACATGCTCAGAAGAAAGTCATGTAGAATTTACTGACTGCAGCTCCCTGGAAAATATATTCAGAAGTGCAGGTCTTCTCTACATGTCTGTGACTAGTGACACAGAAGTCAGAAGTGTTTGTATTCAGGGAGATTGAAATCAGTAGAATGGTCCAGAAAGTTTTAATGAAGACCTGATTTCCCTGCTCTTTCCAAGTCTACCTTTTCATCTCTCTTACTTTGTGCCCTCAGAGGTCTGTGTATGGAAAATCAAATTGAGTCACATCCAAAGAATTATTCGCCTGTATGCCATGGTACAGCTAAGTCATTTTAGATCATGAAGTGGATGATTTTATGTGCTCTTTCCTTTTTATGCAGCCATGCATGTTACCTCCATTGTGAACAACAACTAATGTTTCACCGTGCCCATCTCACTTCTGTTATAATGCTTCTGCATGATAGCTATATTATAAGAACAACTCCCCAGTGATTCACAACTCGGAAGAAACATTTGAGTGCTGCAGTTCCCAATGGCTGGTGGGGGATTGTGCCATTTTGCATAGTAAAATCCACCTACAAAGGAAGCACAACCAATGTAGGGGTTAAAACAGCCAGGCTGGGAATGTTGTTGTTGTTAGTCGTGAAGCCGTGTCCGACCCACTGCAACCCCATGGACAACATTACTCCAGGCCTTCCTGTCCTCCACCATTCCCCGGAGTCCACTCAAACTCACACCGACTGCTTCAGTGACTCCATCTAGCCACCTCATCCTCTGCCGTCCCCTTCTTCTTTTGCCATCTATTGTTCCCAGCATTAGGCTCTTCTCCAGGGAGTCCTTCCTTCTCATTAGGTGGCCAAAGTATTTGAGTTTCATCTTCAGGTTCTGGCCTTCTAAAGAGCAGTCAGGGCTGATCTCCTCTAGGACTGCCCAGTTTGATCACCTTGCGGTCCAAGGGACTCGCAGGAGTCTCCTCCAGCACCACAATCCAAAGGCTTCCATCCTTTGGTGCTCAGGCTTCCTTATGGTCCAGCTTTCACAGCCATACATTGCAAGGCTGGGAATATGCTGCTCCTCCAATACAGTTTTGAACAAAGTAGATCGTGATTCATGATCAAAATTTTCAATCAAGTTTACCCCAATTCTTCAGCAAGATGCAGCATATATGAACTATAAAAACTGAGCCGATCCAGAAGATCCCGGCTTTCTTTATTTTTCAAAAACAAACAAACTCCTAGTTATGCATATGAGTTAGAATCATAGAATAGTAGGACCAGAAGGGGCCAAGGAGGCCACTGAGTCCAACCCCCTGCTGTTGCAGGACACCAAGTTACACCATCCCACTCAGATGGCTGTCCAGTTTCTTTTTGAGTGTCCCCAGTGTGGGAGAGCCCACCTCCTCTCCAGGCAGCTGGTTCCACTGCCATATTGCTCTGACAGGGAGGTAGCTTTTCCTGATATCCAGCCTGAATCTGAGTTGCCGCAACTTGAATCTAATCGATTCCATGTCCTACATTCTGGCATTTGCAAGAAGAGATCTTGACCTTCCTCTTTGTGACATGAAGGTCAATTTATTTTCACACACCACCCAAGACACACTCAATGGAAATCCTACTCTGCAATTTCTCTGACTTCATTTTATTAGGTCTTGTCTGAGCCCCCAAATTCCCCACACACACATCAATACCCAACTGCAAGGGAGGTGAGGTGGGAGTGGATGTAACCTCATTGCTTCAAGTCCTAAATACCTAATGTGCTTTCTTTCTCTTCTGCTTGCAGATTTTAATGCCACACAGCCTGCAGATGGTAAGTCAAAATCATCCTCCTCTTTTCAGAGAAATATGCACATGTCTGGATATGTCTTCCTGGTAAAGATGTTATGAGCTGCAGGTTTTCTGTTTCCTCTGTCACAGAGGACAGGGCTTCACAGGTTCGCATCCACTGAGCCTCAGAATCAGTTGGTTTTGCTCAAGAACGTTTTTGCATAGCTGGTCCATGGTAGGTTGCACTGGAGAGCCTTATCTTGGTACCTCCAGAAAAAGTGGGTAGATCAAAGCTAACTAGGCAGGTGTGAATCAGCAAAATGTGACCTCAACAAAGTTCTACAGTTCTACCTTGAACATTCCAGCTGAAGTTCATATCAGATTTTGAACTTCTTTTTCCTTTCTGCATGAACATGTATGCATATCTTTCCAAATGTGTGCATTGATTTTTCACATCTTTAAAATGTACGCATCCTTCTCCCACAGATTAAAGCTTGTTCGTGCGCATTTCCTACAAGTATACATTATTTCATGTGCATCTCTCAAATGTACACATGATGTTCAATGCATTTTGGAGGACTGAGAATGGCTTTGCAAGCTTGGAAATGGGATGGAGAGACTGCAAATTGTGTCTGAGTCTGCATTCAGGCCAGAAAGTGTGAACAGAGTAAATGCTGATTAAAACCAGGCTGAAATTTATTTCTTATATATTCACACACACAAACACATGATTGAACACCTAAAATTCATTCACATTCTTAGACAGAGATAATCACCCACCATTCAAAAGGAAATAGGTCATTTGTACATGCACACACACAGAGAGAAATTCACATGTATTCCTTCAGTTGGGTTCTAATGAAAGGCTTTTTGCCAAGCAGACTGTAACTGATTTGCACATGTGCATGGGGACAGTCAAAGGGAGGAGGGGGAGGATAACCCCTTTCCCTCAAAGCTAATCCACTTCCCAAATAGTCCTCCATCATATGCCAGGGCTAATGGCTCTCAGGAGGTGAAGGAAGGGGAAGTTGGTCCAGCTACCAACAAGCTAATTTGCATCCTCTCCCTTTGGCTTTCAGCAGAGGACAGCAGTGACATTGCCAACAGTAAGTAAAGCTTTCCTGTTCTTTCTAAGCGTAGATTCCTTCAAAATCCCCATGATCCAAAATTTTCTAGCAGCCCTTACAATGACCTTGCTCAGAATGAAGCCCTGCAGAGATTGGTGCCTGCACCTACCTGGCAAGCATGCTTAGAAACATAGAAACAGAGTGAGCCAGAAGGGGGCTCCCAGGCCATCTAGTCTGACCCCCGGCTCCAGCCGGCTCCACTCACGACATGCCCACCATGTGCATGTTAGAACTGCACATCACCTGTACATGTCTGTGTTCCATCACACAGAAGATTGGAGGTTACATGGGTGGGACTGAGTTCATTAAGGCTGCAAATTAGTGGGAGTCCTTGGTTCTGCCCCACAATGTTTTCATACAGCCAGTCCATTATAAATTTATCTCCATTGAGTAGAACCCTTGATCAAGACCATCCTTGTGGTTAGGAAACAGCTATACTCTATCCACATTTCTTTGTCTGCTGATGGATCCAGTCATGGTAGAATATGCATTGGTTTGGTCAAAATAATTGCATTTGGGGTTGCATTGACTCCTGTATGCAACTACACAACTTCAGACCCTGGGCGTAAGGGCTCTCCGGGTTCCCATTTTCGATGCTCCTTTGTGTAACTTCAGTTATGAAGTACCCAGTTAGTTTTCTCTTCCCCATTCCAAGAACCACATCATGCTTTAAAGCAGCTTCTTCATAATATCTTGCCATAACAAGAACGACTGAACTATTTGCATTATTCGCTAAAAGAAATGCTCCAAGCATGAGTGGTTCTGCATATTATACATACTTAATTATACCACCATCATGGCAACTGAAATAAAATTGAATTTCTTTCTGCACTGGGTGGTCATTTCTGGAAACTCTCCCTGAACATTGGCCCCAAGCTCCAGCCTGACCCACATCTCCCCATAGATGTAATTGTAGGGTGTAACAAAACATTGTTTTTGCACCCCAAATAAGGTTATAAATGGACAAAAAACCAAAGGAAAATCTTTATTGGTTTCCTCTGATCTTACTCACTTGTGGTTCATTAAAGATCATCAGGTTTTATCTGAACAACTAAGAATTTCTGCCACCCTGTATTTGCATGTTTCCTCCATAGACGTTATGGGAGCTCCTGGATAAGCATCAGAAAGATCCAAAAGTTTGAAAATGTGTTTCTGCAAGCCTTTAAGTACCTGCTTTTGCTTCCAGACATACCAGCTACAGGAGGGTCCAGCCCCAGAAGCACTGAAAATGATCTTAGTAATCTTAAATGAAATGAAATAAACATTTCAGTGGTGGTAGGACCCCTGGATGGGAATGATTTAGAGAACCATTATTTATAGAGAGGGGAACACCAAAAAACATTTCCTTCTTTTGACCAAAACTGTTCCTGTTCGAAAAATATGCTGAGTCTTTTTTTTAAATGGGAGTATCCATGTCACAAATTCCACGTCGATCTAGATAATGTTATGTGCTGAGTTCCCTCTTCCAGTGGCTTTCTGCCTGCGTATTTTTTTCCCCAAGCAGGATTGCAATGGCAAACATGCACATGAAGCTAGTTCTGGGCAATGATCAGAAGAGTTCGGAGTAGAGGAATTGTCGAAAGACATCTAACTTGCAACCTTCCACATCTCTGCTGCTCACAGAACCCTCCAGAAGGGCTTCTTCTGCTTCAAAACTGGGCTAGAGAGTTAGACATGTTCATGCGTGTAGCTGTCATGTGGTATAGCCCTCAAAGAAAAAGCCTCAGGTGGCTTGTATGTGTGGAAGGTGTGCCCTGAAACCACCTTGCTAGTGGCAAACTCACTAGCCTCTCTCTTACGATAACTCTGCAAGTCTCCTACCCTGTGATAATTTTATTTATTCTTTCCTGCCCTTGATATTTAGAGAACTATATCATACATGCCAATCTCGGAAAACTCGTGTATACTCTTCTCATTTTGAAGAGCAGCATGTACGGGGCATTTGTTTTAGGCCTGAAGCTAAGGAAAAAGGTAATGTACAATATTCATTGCATATATCATGGGCAGTGATTCTGCCATAATCTTTCTGATACCAGGAAGAGCCCTCTTTATTTTCCCTGCAATTTCAGACATTCAGTTTTAGCAATTTAAAGTGCTACACTGTATTTTTAAAATCTTTGTACAGCTTATAGGTTTTTTTTTTACTTTCTCCTTTATTTATACCTCTGTTTAGAACTTTTACACTTTTAAAGTTTTTAGTTATTGAGAACCACCTAGAGAACCATGGCCTATTGGGCAGTGTAGAAATGTAATGAACCAATAAAATACATTTTTTAATGTATATTATTTTAATTGATTTATATGTGAGCCACTCCGAGGCTTCGGCGAATGGGGCGGCATAGACATTTTCTAAATAAATAAATAAATTTCCACTGTACAATTTATGGCTGCAATTCCTTTCATCAGGGCTGCCTTACTGCTGTATCTTTACAGCAGATAAGATAGTCATGATCAATTTTCCTGTCTTCTTATATTTGGCCTTATATTTGCGAAATTTCTGATGAATGTGCCTAATAAACTACTCTCCGTTTTATCTCCCACTTTGCCATTTTAGAAGATGTGAGTTCTGCTATATTATTTAAATATAATTTGTATGAACATTTCTAAAAGTAACCTCCACTAATACAAGAAGTCTCTGTTGGGAGGTTGGTGCTAATGGACTTGCCCCTGTGAATAACCCCCAAATCCTGTAACCTGAAGGATTGAAGCAAAGTAGAAATCTACTTCAGCATGCCTGTACTCAGGAACAACACCTGCCCAGATTCTTCCCACATCTTACTGAAGATACTTGGATATCTGAAGGAGGGTCTCCTTCCTTACATGCCTGCCCACCCCCTAAGATCTGGGTTGGAGGACCTTCTTCAGGAGCCCTCTTTGGAGGAGATTAGGATAGTGGCTACCCAGAGAAGGGCCTTCTCCATGGTGGCACCCCAGTTGTAAAGCATGCTCCCCAGAGAGGTGTGCCTGGCACTGACTCTTAATTCTTTTTGGTGCCTGGCCACAACCTTTTTATTTTCTCATTATTTTAAGACTTAATATCTATTTTAACCAGGTTTTTATTATGCTGTGCTTTTGTTGTTAGACAGCCCTAAGACTGCTTTGTATGGACAGGATATAAAAGTTTTAAATAAATAAATAAAATACTGAAGGTATGCAAATCCTGCCATCTTCCCTTGCATCTAATCCTCTTAATCAAAGATCCCATCTTGTGCCATGATCTCAAATTATTACTCTTCTGTCTAGACTCAAGCTAAGGCATTCAGCCCAGGTCTAATTTTCTGCTCTGTTCCGTTTCTTGTCTCTCCTATGCCAGCCTAAGCAACTCATACCTGAACATCCAGATCTCTCCAGTGATGTGAATGAATTCCTGGAAGAGAAAGATTAACATTCTCATCCTCAAATGTCCAGAGTAGGATGTTGGATCACTCTTCACTTCTTAAAAGTTGCTTTGAATCAGCAGTGTTCTCAAGATACACTTCACTGCTGCATTTTAGGTTGAAAAACAGTTACTGGGCTTTTTATTATTTAGTATTTCCTGTGTTACATTTCAGTTTTACCATGCTTGCATGGAAGTAAGCACGCTTGGAATTACAGCCTTATAGTGCAATCCTATATAGACTCCTCAAAAGTACTGAGGATCTCAACGGTCATTATTCCTAGTGAGTCACAGGACTGCAGTCTTAAAGTCTCCCTGATTGTCAAAGGGACAGATGAGAAATACACTTTTAAGCATTTTCCTCCTCAGAAGTGTATCCTATTGAATTCAGCTAGGCATACTCTCAAGTAGTTTCCACCAGTAGTGCAGTCTTAAGATTATATTTAAATTCTTGTATTAAAACTTTAAGAGAGCTAAACATTGTTTGCCATGCATTCTCCTTTTGATTCTCTGCTGCTGCTGTTTTTTTAATAAAGTCATAGAACATTTGTGCCGGGTTTCCTGTGTTTCACTTTAGATGTTTTTATGAGCCTCACAATAGTTATGATCCAACTAATGCAAAGCTGCAGCTAGCTCTTTTGCGGTACATGGTTTTTCTCAAGAAAGAGTTTCGAGGTTTTCCTGTTTATTACTTGTTGATACAAAGATCCGATTTACAGTTAAACACAGGTTAATTTTGAACTAAAGTCGAGTCTGGCCCTGTGACTTCGCTGAGAAAGTGGGAGGACTGGATGGAAGTGGATACAAATTCCTTCTATTCATTAAAGCTGTGCCTAACTGGAAAGATTTCATCCTGGGATTCCCTGCATGTGCATTCACCTCCTCTGTGCCTGATCCCTTTCTCTTGCATTATCTCTATTACTTTTACACCTGCAACTTGCAAATGCTTTAGTCTCCCATTTTACAGCAGTAAAATGAGAGTTAAAAATATAAAATCTATGACACAGCAAGTAGGATAGAGGCTGATAAAAACAAATAAAACTACCCATTTTAAGGAAGAATATGAACAAGCATATGGAACAGACTCCTGTAATTGCAAGTCCAGAGGGCTTCCCTTGACAGGGGATTCCAAAGAGGAGGGGTCTACCCTGAAGTCCAAAGAACTATTGAACTATTGAATTGAAGCAAATGAGGCATTCCCAAATACCCCCATCCTTTGATTTTAATGCACTTGAAAGAATGTAAATTAGGAGTCACTCCCTTTGAATACACTTATCATGTTTGCATTGATAACCAATGTCCTGCCTTCCAAGATGCAAGTACACTGAGATGCTAGACAGGCCCCTCAGTTCTGAAAACAGGCATTTGCCCTTCTGGTGCTTCATGTGTTATGGGTTTTCATTATAATAGAGGATGCTGATACCAGATCACCGGCTCTTCTCTTCCAGTAAGTTGAGCCCTGAAGTGGCTGGACCGGGTGCAGAGAGTCTGCTCCAGCTACTACTGGAAACCCTTAGACTGGAATGCTTCTCAATGGAACCAAGCATTCCTGCAGTGAAGAAGATAATGCCGGAATTTTTGGTATGACTGAAGGGCAAAGTCTATGTTGCAACTCTTCATTTTTTGGGAGTCCCTTTATTATATGTTAAAGAAGGCAATGGAAGGGCAAAGTCTACATTCCAACTCTTCTTTTGCAGGAGTTCATTTATTATACATTGGGAATCCTCTGCACGGAGGACCATTCTTGCTATCCAGAGATACTAGTTAGTGTGGCACTTTCTTTGGTGGAGGGTGTTAAATAGTATAGTTTAGTTTAGTTTAGTTTGGCATCTTACTCTATTTAACAGCCAATCCTTGATGCCTTGTTTCATGCCTGCTAAAACAACCAGCAAATCCAAAGTGCTTCACCTTTGAGGTCAAGTGTCAAATTCAGGTGATGACTTTTAAATTTAATTCACATCCTTCATTTCACATTGAATATTGGGGGCAATGCTGGAAAACTTGCCATGTCTTGCTTTTCAAACAGTAACTTCACCTCTAGACCAACATAGTTCTCTTTAGAACCCATCACCAGCAACTGTTGTGACACAAGGGCATTTCAGAAGGTCATACTGAAAATGTTAAGTTGCACCACAAGTCCTTGTCAATAGTCCCCTTTCAAGAACAGGAGCTAGGAGGGCCTTCTGGGGATAACAGGATGTGGCATGACATTTGGTTTTGCAACGGTTTCTCAAGCAGTGGTTACCACAGCGCATGTTTCTTCCCAGTGTGGAGCTCAGATGATCTGTCACCCTTCCTGCTATGGTTAGAAGCAGCAACACCCCCAGCAGTGGTTTCAGCACCTCATCCTATCACACAATCTTCTTAGCCAATAGATTTTGCAGGTGCACCAGTTTTGGTCAAGGCACCATGCTTCGAATGGAAAGTTTGTGGGTATTTTCGGTGCAGCTTATTGACCTGCTTATCAGAACAGAGCAAAGCAAGGGTTTCCTGGATCTACCACTCCCCCACTTCTCACTGTTAAGGGGTATTCCAGATTTTAGTAATAGTCTGCTGTTTTATTCTTTCTTTTTCCCCCTCTCAGAATGATGTTCAAGAGCTAGACTAATGTATTTACATCAGACAGTCTTGCAGTTTTAATTTGATTTATTTTGTTCTGGTGCTGGCAGTTGCTTGTGGAGCAGTATTTTGAAAACTGCTTGCCCCAGAAACATCAAACAGGAGCTTCAAAACAAATAAAGAAAGGGGGCACCCCTAAGCATAGGGTATAAGATGTATGTAGTAGTGGAAATACCAGACTTTTCACTTCCTGTAGACATGAGCTTGTCCTATTTTTTTAAACTTCCCAACAACCCTGTGAAGAAGACTGGGCAGAAGTTGTCAGCCAAATTTGCCTCATGATCTTCCTTTAACTGAGTGGGGATTTAAATATAGGTTATATTGGAATGTATCTCACTACGTTTACACCCCTGGTTTAGTTCACTTAGATTTTGTGTGTTGTTACAGTAAGGTTTAATTCTACATGAACTGCAATGAGATGTCCAGTAATGCATCCAAAGTTGAAGGGGCTTCAAGTTTCATAGACGTCAGTGAGAAAACATGAAGGAGATGTTTATCTTTCCCAATGGAATGTGAGCACTTGACTTTTGCAGGGATGTTATTGTGCTTATGGTCTTGTTCCACTGAAAGGTTTTACACCATCTCTTGCTTTGGTATAATATGGTGACGTGGTTGGAGGAAGTGATTCTGCTGCAGCAGTGGATATGTAGCTGTTCTCACCCCCACAGCTAAGCAAGAGTCCTTGCAAAGAGGCATTTGGACTGCATCTTTCTTGACAGGTGTATCCTTCACAGTATGGGCAATATTGCAGGTATGGACAGTCATAGATTTTTCTATCCAGTGGGAACACAGTGGTGTACACAAAGGCCAACTGTGCTGCTTGCATGTAATTTGGAATAGACTATTAAGAGCTAATGGGACAGAGCTTGCAAACTTTTCATCTCTTTAGGGCTATTCACTGTGATGGACCAGCTGGACTTCAGTTCAGAATCTGTCTCAAATACCTTTGGGATCCTGGGCATCCCTGAGGATCCTGGCAGATCATTGCATGCTCCAACCAGCAAGGACTACCCATTGAATGACTTGTACTGAGAGACTGGTGTACTCCTGATAACTTTTGGAGAAATGCTACCATCACTTATCTGAGACAATTCACCCCTGCCCTTAGCATTCACTAGTGGAAGTCCTCAGTAGAGCGCCTCTCAGGTATTTTAGGTACCTGATTCTTTAATTTCTAATTATGTAAGCTGCTTTCAGTTCCTTCAAAGGAAAAAAGTGGGATATAAATACATTAAATAAATAAATGGAAATCATTTTACTATTGCTTTGCAAGGCCCTTAGTGCAATGAATCCAACAGTGCTAGAAGACTCACAGTGGATCCAACTGAACACATGTTTGTGGATACACCAGTGGCAGAGAATTATATTTCTACCTTCCCATCATGTCCTCAGAGCACTGTCAAGTGGCATTTTCCTTGCAATAAGTGGCCTTTCTCAGCCACCTGAGAAAGGTGTAAAAAAATATAAATACCTTCAAAGCACTTTGAGAGCAAAATAGCTAGTGTTCTCAGTGTCTTTGATACCACAAATTGCACAGTCCAGTCTACTAGTGTACCTAAAGCAGGAGAGTGTAGATCTCCATGTGACATGGACTTTAACATGCAGTATTCCTGAGCACTGGCAATGCTGGAAGGGAGTCTGAGAAATGAAGTTCAAAACAGAATGATCTTTCAGATCTTGTAACTTGTAGCATCCACATTCTGTAAAGTCAGTTCTGTCTGCTTCATGAATTGTCAGAAAAATTCATTCTGTTGTCTTCTCATTGATGGAACTAAATTTTGCACAGATGTTTTTGCAAGCACCTGCATAAATTAATACATGTACAAATTCACACTCCCACAAATGCACAAATCCCCCAAAGTATATTTGCATACTTTAGCCTAGGGAGAAATGCACATTTTGTCCTTTCTATTTTCCCCTTTCATTTATGTGCATTAAACATTGTACAAGTCCCAAAAGAAGACAATTACAATAAATTATTGAAAGATATTAAAGGTGATCTGGAAAGATGGGCAAATTTACAACTGTCTTTGATGGGAAGAATTGCAATGGTTAAAATGAATATACTACCAAAACTTTTGTTTTTGTTCCAAATGATTCCCATAAAAATTGATAAAAAATTTTTGAAGATTTAAATTTTCAAATTTTGAGAGAAAAAAAGAAAGCAAGGATTAAACTGAAAATGCTTCAGGAAACCAAAAAGAATGGGGGTTTTGGTTTACCAGATTGGATGTTGTACTATCAAGCGTCTATTTTAACTTGGCTAAAAGAATGGATAACCTTGCAAAATAAGAGAATTTTGTATCTTGAAGGACATGATTTGCAAATGGGTTGGCATGCTTATTTGTGGTATGAGAAGGTTAAGTCTCATGGGACTTTTTAAAGTCACTTTATTAGAAGATCATTAATGTCAGTGTGGGAAAAGTTAAAGTCAAAATTGTATAATAAGTTACCAAGATGGCTTTCACCTATGGAAGCTTTTGTGTATCCAAATGTATTGAATTTTGAAGGGATCATAAAATATGTTGATATTTTGGATAAGGATGGAGGCCTGAACCTAGATCAAGAAATACAAGAAAAGGGACTCAATATTTCATGGTGGTATAAGGTGCAGATGCAATCAAGATATGCTAAAAATGGTAGAATATGGGGGTTTTATAAAGACCTAACAGCCTTTGATCAAGTGATGTTAAAAACAGATGAGAAAATGATTAAAAGAATTTATGAGTTCCTACTTGACAGGAAAATGGATGGGGAACAGGTTAAGGAAACTATGATAACATGGGCACAAAATTTTGGATATAATATTGAATTAGAAAGGTGGCAAAAGTTATGCGAGAGAAATATTAAGGTAACTTTAGCAACTTTGTATAGAAAGAATTTATGTAAAATGTTTTATAGATGGTATTTGTCGCCAAATTGGTTAGCTAAAATGTTGCCAAATATGTCAAACAGATGTTGGAAATGTAAACATGATGTGGGTACTTTTTACCATATGTGGTGGACTTGTGAATATGTGAAAAAGTATTGGATTAAAATACATAAATGGCTTGAGGAAATGCTACAAAAACCCTTAGCTTTTAAACCTGAAATTTTCTTGTTAGGTATTGTACTGGAAAATATTAGCAAACAAGAAATGTATTTGATACTACATTTAATCACAGCAGAGAGGATTGTGCTTGCTCAATACTGGAAGAGTGAGGAACTACCCATTGAGGAACTGATTTTAAAAAAGATTCTGGACTGTGCAGAAATGGACATATTGACTCTGTTATTGAAGGAGAAAGAAGATACTGACTTCTATCAAACCTGGGAGCTTTTTTACGAGTGGCTGGAGAAACGGGACTTGGCTTAGATTTAAAGATGTCTTAAAATTTTTATAAATCAATTTGAATATGATTATAGAATGTTTAAAAGATATGTTATAGGGGGTTGACTCTGTACGTCTGATGTATTTGATGATTGATATTTTTTTTTAGTTTTTAGTTTAAAATCTTAATAAAAAATGTGCAAAAAAAACCCATTGTACAAGTCCGTGGAATTCACATGACTCAGGAATTTGCATGCTGCAAAATTCTCAGGTCAGATTCTTAGAGGAAAAAAACTTAAATCAATTACAACTTCCCTAAAACTATGATAAATTAAAGAAAGCAGAATTGGCTAGTACAGTGTTTAATCCACGTTGATTATGCATAGAGGAAACCCAGTACCATCAACTGGATTTTTTCCCCAGTAGTAGTGATAGACCTACTCCAAGCATAAGAAAGTCTGGATCAGACCCACAGTTAGGATTATTAGATTTCTATGGTCTGTGTGAAAAAGCAAACACAGAAAACAACTTCAAACTAAAAGGTCAGATAGCAGCCCAAACATTCCTCAAAGCCCCATGTTACTAACATGTCAAAGTGCAGAAGCAAACAGAAAATTTAGCGGCATGAAAGATCCGTCACAAGACAAAAGAAAGCAAGTACAATCCACATGCCTGCTATGAAACCCTTTCTTTCATCTGCAACTGAGTTTCACATCCTCCTTCCTTGCCATTTTTCTCCACACCTTGTTAAAACATTTCTCCTCATTGCATTTATATCTTTTCTTACAAGAGTGCTCAATGTTCTCTCACATACTTGACTAAGCCTTTCCGTTTTAGCAGCTCAGACTGTAAATGGAAAAGAAAGAGACGAAGAAGAAAATCTTTGCAGATAATAAGGATTTCCCTCTCTCTTACTAACAATGTTCCTTTGCTTTTAAGAGCAGTCTGACACAATGAAATCTAGCAAAGAAAACTAGTCATCAAAGGTAAATAAGACCTTTGTCTACATTTGTAGGCAGATGCAAAAGGGAATAGGGTGTCTCCATTTTTAGTAGACAATTTCAGCTGATGTAATTCCTCAGGTAACCTTTATTTGCTGGCATTCTCATGTCTACCCTAGTATTAAAGGTGCAGGACTGTAACTTTAAAAACGTGCATAAAATTATGAATATGGGACTTATTCTTCATTCTTCATTAGTATGAGTCTGTCTTATGCTGGTACATCTCCTTGGTCCATAGTTGGTGCATATACATAATGTAAGTGGATTGGCATAGAAGCAAGACCAAACATTCTTTCATTCTTTTAACCTTACAATAATAGACAGATAAAATTGGGCAGCTCTATTCTATAGGTGCTTTGTCCTTGTTAATTGTTCCCTGCAGTTTAAGTCAGGCCTCAGCAAAATAATGTAGCATTTGGGAGAAAATATACAGCCCAGTATCCCACCAGTAGAGGCTAGGATAGAGAAGATCTCCACAACTACCATATATTTCCCATTAGTGCTCAGGTAGGCTGGGACAAAAGACAACCAAACACTGCAAAACACCAGCATGCTGAAGGTGATGAACTTGGCTTCATTAAAAGAATCTGGCAACTTTCTGGCTAGGAAAGCCACCATGAAACTGATGATGGCCAGAAGTCCCATGTAGCCCAGGACAAGGTAAAACATGATGGGAGATCCTTCATTACATTTTACTATGATTTCTTTGGTGAGTGACAGCATATCAACATCTTGAAAAGGAGGAGAGGTTGCCAGCCAAACCATACAATTGCTTGCTTGAATGAGGGAGCCAGAATACACAATGGAGTTGGCCCATCTTTTCCCCAACCACTTCTTCATGTTGGACCCTGGTTTGGTGGCCATGAAAGCCACAACCACAGTGAAGGTTTTGGCCAACACACAAGAGACAGCTACAGAGAATATGATGCCAAAAACAAATTGCTGCAACAAGCAGGTCACATGGTTTGGCCATCCAATAAACATTAAAGGGCTGAGGAAACAGAGGAGAAGAGAGATGAGGAGGATGTAGGTGAGGTCCCAGTTGCTGGCTTTGACAATGGGGGTACTTTTGTGCTTAATAAAAATTCCCAACACCAAGGCTGTGATCAGGGAAAGGGAAACAGCAGCTGAAGCTAAAATAATACCTAAAGGTTCTTGGTAAGATAGAAAAGAAAATGTCTTTGGAATGCAACTGTCTTGGTCCTTGCTTGGATACTGATCTTCTGGACAATAGAAACAATTACTCATGTCTGAAAATACAATTAAAAGAGGTCCTGTTGTCATTCTCCATTTTTGGGCTTGTGGACTATCATCACATTGTTGGAGTCAGTGCAGCGTAGGGCCACAAGGTTGGTGGCCGGTTTGCAGGGGGTGCCATATGAGGCGAGATTGAGGGAACTGGGTCTCTTCAGCATGGAGAAGAGGAGACTCAGAGGGGATATGTTGGCAACACTCAGGTATGTGAGGGGATGTCACATGGAGATGGGTAGAGACCTGTTCTCCCCTGCAGAGGAAGGCAGGATGCACTCCAATGGAGCAAAGCTCAGGGAAGCAAGGTTCCATTTAGATGCCAGGAAGCACTTCCTGACAGTTAGGACCCCGAGGGTGTAGAATGGGCTTCCACGGGAGGTCGTTGAGGCCCCATCAGTGATGGTGTTCAAGGATGGGCTAGACATGCACATGGTGGGCATGTCGTGAGCGGAGCCAACTGGAGCTGGGGCTCAGACTAGATGGCCCAGTAGGCACCTTCTGACTTGCTCTGTTTCTGTTTCTAAGTTTCTATGCTTCCTACATAACAAAGTTTGCTTATAGATGCATTTACCTAAGTGTGGAGCTGCTGACATTCATTTTACTCATCTTGCATCGTGGGATACCTGGATAGCCCCAGGCTTACATTTTCTTGTTCAACTTTCATATAGGTAGGCCTACAATTTAATCTTTCTAGGAGATTGTCAAATTGAGATGAGTAAAAAATGCTGCCAGATTTTAGCCTCCTCCCTCTTAAAGTCCCACCCCCATTACTATTAAGCAAAGTAAGCCTGGAATACAAAATGCCCCACATTTTACATAAGAGCAGGGTAATTGGAATCCCAGATTAATCACTAAGGATGTTAAATACAGGTCATCTTAGTCTCTTTTGAAAGATGAGAGTCTGAGCTAAAGCCTCCAACAAAAAGCATTAATGTCCATTAAGCCAAAGCACTGATATGCTGATTTTAAGATTTTAAGCTAAACATTCGCTATGTCGCTTGCATTTCAGTACACCAAGCATTGTCATTCAGACTGTTGCAATACATTGCTGTAGGAAAAAGTAAGTATCAAATTACCTGAAGCAGCTGAAACCTGAAAACCAGCTTTTGCTGTATCAAACCTTCTGGGGAAAATATTTAGTCTATTAAAGTCTATTGGAGTGACAAGTCACTCCAAATATGATTAATGCTATGTTTGAACATGATGCAGGCAGAAAGTTTCTTGATATCTTCTCCATTCTTATCTCAACAGCAGCCATAGCAACAGCATATACCATTAATTTTCCATTGATTTCCTAATGTTTATAATCACTTGGCAAACAATTAGCTGAATGATCCCTGAATGCTAAAAAACTGAAGCACTAAATCACCTACCATTGGAATTTGAAATCTTCCCTTCTGGGCACTTTGAACAATCATAGCAGCAAAATTTCTTCCCTTCCTTTTTCCTCTTTTGATAGCCAGCATAGCAATGTTCGTTGCACAAAGAAAGAGGGAGGGCCTGTTACGAAAGGAGTAGAAGACTTATTCTACATGGGACTCCACTGAACTCCAGTGACTTACTACTGAGGAGAGCTGTATAGAGTGCCATAAAGTGAGACTTCAAATGTTATTTAGTTCTGGTATATCTGATTCTGAGTCCACACACAGACCCTTTTTAAATGTACAGTCTTGGGAGCAAATTTTTGAAGAGTATGTATTTTTCTCCCAATAAATAAATGCTTCTGTCAAATGCACATTTTTAGCTCCTTATTCATTAAATATGTCAATACATCTTTAATGCTTATGTTCACAGAATCATGGAATCACAGAATAGTTGAGTTGGAAAGGACCAAGAAGGCCACTGGGTCCAACCCCTTGTTCAATGCAGACTACAAGTCAAATCATCCCTCTTGGGTGTTTACTATGTTCACCAGTACTTCTTGTAGCACCCAAGGACTAATGGCCCAAACCCTAATCCACATTACATAAGTATCTATCACAAACCCAGCCATCTATACTTCAATTGGTTCAGAATAGAGCTGTCAGGATATTAATGGGGGCCAGCAGGTACTCTCATATAATGCCAGTCCTATACCATTTACACTGGCTGCCGATTGAAGTCCGAGCCCAATTTAAGGTGCTGGTAATTACCTATAAAGCACTAAATGGCTTGGGTCCTGGATACTTAAAGGAGCACCTTCTTCCATATGCGCCCACCCACCCCTTGAGATCTGAGGCAGAGGTCTTCTCCAGGAGTCCTTCTTGAAGGAGATTAGGAGGGTGGCTACCCAGAGGAGTACCTTCTCTGTGATGGCAACCCAACCCTGGAATTTGCTCCCCAGGGAGGTTCTCCTGCCGCCATTGCTCTATTCTTTTCAGTGCCAGGCAAAACCCTTTTTATTTTTCCATCATTTTAATGTTTAATTGGTTTTATGTGGGTTTTATTATTGAGGTTGGATGCAGTGCCTTGTTTTGTTTCATATTTTCAGGGGATTTTTTCTTTTTCTTGTTAGCTGTCCTGAGATGCTTGTGGTGGATGGCCTATAAAAGCTTTTAATAAACAAATTAAATAAATAAATCTAACTATATCTCCAATGATTGACTCTCCCAGAGCCTGAGTGCCCCCTGTACACACACACATGCACACACACTGGAGATACATCGTCAGTGTTGCTTCCATCTAAAAGCAAGAAAATTTCTTCTTCCTCATACTCCATCCTTCTGCAGGACCCTCATTCTCCAGGGCTGCAGAAGAACTGTCACCCTTGGGGAGGGACACCATTGGCACATACCGAAACCACAAAAACATACTGAAAAATTTCATCTCAAAACTTCTCTACTTCACTTTCAGTCTGCAACAAAGAGAATGAACTTATTTCCTGATTGTCAGGAGCTCACTGCACTGAGTACATACCAGTACTGATATTCTCTCTTGCTTTCTACCTTCATAGCTGTTTTCTTGTATTGCTCTTGTTTATTGTACCTACCTGGGTGGGGGACAATTAAATTATTTAATGACAAAAAGCAGGAAAGGATTAACTGCTGTTATCCCTGTTCCTAAACTCTCACAGTTTCTTAACTTGTGCAAATGCTTCACTTCTTTTTCATTGACACCTTCTTCCTGGGGATAAGCCTTATATAAGACACCCCAGAATCCATACCTGGTTAAAACTGTGGTGCCACACTATCATATCCTCATGAATGGTTAATGCATTCTCTTCTAGAGCACTGGGATCTACCCATCCTACTTTCACTTTAACAAAGGAGTGGTTTGGGAAAGTGACCATGTTCATTATGTCAAATCCACCTTCCATTTCCCTTTTACTGTTAAAAGATATTTTCTCTCCCGCAGAGTTGTTAAAATAAATTGCTTGAAGAAACTGTGAAAGCTAATTGAAATAGAAAAAAATAAAGACATAGTAGCATGTGGGAGACTTAATGGCAAGGTTCAAAAAATAAGCAAACTGGAAAACATTTATGAGGTTTTATTTATTTACAAGTTCGACTGATACAACTAAGAAAGCAATATGATGGTCACAGAAAGTATTCCAGGGACTATAGGTTTTCTTTGCTTCCCTCTCCCACAGCAGTAGTGAATACCATGACCTCTGGAGATAAGCTGTGTAATCTGATCCTTCCCCACCTTCCCCATATCCTTCACAGTAGACATGGCTATGTCATCTTCTTTTCAAGGTCACAAAATTGGTGTGGAGGACCACATAGGAGTCAAAAGACTGGGTGTTCTGAGGATCAGTTGGGAAGAATCAGGGAGAAGACAGACCCAGATACAGAAAAACCGCTGGCCTCCCCTGCTCTGTCCCTATCCCCACCAGCCCAAACATTCTAGACATGCTTAGAAGTCCTTCTTGTGATAAAAAGTTTAGAAGGGGGATGGAGAGGTGAAAATCGCATCCAATGTTCCTCCCACCCTGCCAAGCTCCAGTCCAGCACGTAGGGATGTCAGAGAAGTCTGCAACAGACCTAAATGGATTTCTGGTTAATCTGGATTTTGCAGAGTATGACCCCATAGATCTAAGCCAGGTAACTGGCTTTTCTAGGTTGCACAGAGTCCATGAGGCTTACAGACTTATTTTCTCTGTGTGTGTGTTATACAATTTTAGCTGCAAAAATGTGTAAAGTGGAAAAAAAGATTTTAAAATGTAAGTCTCTTCTTAGCATAATGCCTGAAAATATACATTACGGGCATTTGCATAAGTTTGCCATTGTGTACATTTTCAGGGGCATAAATTTGCATAAAAGTGAATTTGGGCAAATACACACAAACACATTTCTGTCATTACAAATTCTCAAAATAGTCAGACAGCAAAGCAAAGGTCGACCAAAAATCACTGGTGGACAAGTTTTCTTTATATTTGCATGTTTCTAATTCCAGGGCACTGGATCATGAAACTTCTGAAATTGGAGGGATTGATCCAGTGGGAGGAAATCTTAGAATTATGCCCTAAAACTAAAAAAATTACCCTTAGCCTCTTCACATATTGTCATCTCTATACATCCAAGGAAATTGAACATGCTGGTATTTTTTTTTTTAATTCAGACTTAAACATAGAGTAGACCCTTAAAATCAATGGGCTTAAGTTCATCATGAGATATTTTTAGGTTCCACAGTACTCAATGCCTCTACTTTGCACATGACTCTGAGTAAGTCTTAAACTAAGCCATTCTATTTAATTCCATTTCATTTCAAGCGGAGAAAATAATGTTTTGCTCATGTCAATAGAGCCATCTCGCTGTGAGTACTTACTTTCCAAGGGTGGAAACTTTGAAGTTCAATTCTTCTGTCATTTGCTCTAGAGGTGTACATGGCATGGAGAGCATGTGCTGTCACATAGACAGCATTATAAATACTGTAGCTGTGACCAGTCATGCGCATTTCAAAAACTGATTCTGGAAGGCTTTCCATCTTCTCTACCCCAGTACACATTCCCTCAGCTTCCATTGGTTCTTGTGGATTTGGAAATGAACAATCAAAAGCTTGCTCCCAGAAGTTCTTCTGAAAACCATCTGCTTTGGACCAGCGGGGTCTTTTGTTCTCCAGAAATTGCTTGAACCCTGGAATTTCACTTGAATGAATTGCAAAGGAAATGGCTCCTTGGAAGAGGTGCAAATCTGATGCCCTTTGGAGGCTTGTAATTGCAAAATCAGTCTGGGCTGTCAGAATCCACACCTTTGCAACCGATGTGATTTCTTCATATCTATTAGTTCCTAGAAGCAGAAAATAGTTCAGCCACATAATGCTCAAGGTTTCGCCATAGGCAATAATGGTAGTGGCACTGGTCTCCATGAATGGCAGATACACCTGTAAGAACATGCTATTGATTTCATAGATGTCATTCAAATAGACTTGCTGTGGGGTTCTTTGGATGAAGGCCAAACATATTCCATTCTGGGAAAACAATGATTCTAGCGCCTGCAAGAAATTATCTCCACTGTCATCATCCACAATAAAAAATCCAATCCATGTCCATCCAAAATGCTTAAGTAAATGGATAATCCCCTTGTACTGATGAGCTTCATTTGGGACCATGCGGTAAAAGGAGGAGACCTGTGTTTTGACACTCTCTTCTGGGGCAAATGAGCCATATGCAATCTAAAAAGAAATACATATGTTTCAGAAAAGAGTGTGAGAAAAGCATTGATATTGCAACCAGTGGTGTCCTTCTCCAAGTGTCACAGACTACAGTGTTGAACTGAATCCCTTTTCC